TAACTCCTGCTTATACATTTGATAATTATAATTATAATTATAGTTTACAATGAAAACAATATCAGAGGCACTTGATTAATATAAATTTTGTTGATAATATCTTTTTACCTACTTTTATTGACACTTTCATTTTTGGATTGGAATAAAATAAAAGCTAAAAACGAAGAGAAATTGGATGTTATAGAATACACATCTTATTGAGGCTGCAAGTTGTTAACAAATTTAAAATTCGTGCTCAATTTCATAGCTAAATTATATTTAAAAATTAACTCTTGTTATACATTTTGAATAATTAAAAATTTGGGTTAAATGTTAAATTAAATTATTATGAAAAGGTAAGAATAATAAGAATTAATAAGAATATATTAATTTATTTTAAAAACTGAATGTATATGATTGAAAAAAATATGAGTTATAAATATATATATTTTCTTGCGCCTGAGTTTTTGTGTGTTGGTGATTCATTTAATTGTTAATATGTTCTTTCGCTGACTTAATAATATGTTTCTTATTGAAATGAGAGATTGTAAGTCGTGCGCATTTAGATAAAGTTTAATGCGCGGATATCGAGAGCACACACAGAGGAAAAACTCGATCTGTGATTTAAATTACATGAGAGCAACTTAATTACAAATTGTGTCATTACAACCAATTCACTTTCAATCACGAGCACTTTTCCCGGCGCAAACCAGTTTTCCCCTCGACAATCAAGTGCTCGGACGCGGCGCAATCATAATTTTTTTAATGTTTATGGAGACTTCGCGAAAGAGAGCATGCACTGCGTGTACACTTTAATAGACGAGTCTCAACCGTTGACCGTTCGCTCAGCATATGAGGAATTTTGATTGAGCAATTCATTAATGGCCCTCGAACAGCCGCGCGTTTTTTTACACGCAGAGGACCTAATTAGGCACAGGCGAGCTACGGAGGAGCCTGGGAAAAAGACAAAAATCCATTCACAAATATGTATATGTTATTTTTCACAGCCGAGTGCACCACTTCTTGGAGATGCGATCACGCAAATGCCACTTATCACGATCGTGTATCGTAATTCAATAATAAGCCGTTCAATGACGGAGGCCCCGAGGACATTGGCGAGAGAGCAGGTGGGCGTCCAGCGAGGGCCCGCGGGAGCCCCGTGGGATTTCGCGCGCGGCGTGCCCGCCGGTGTAATTAGGCTGCCGGGCGATAATTGCGAGCGGCGATTGCGTGCCGACGGTCGTGCTGAGAACCTAAAAGGTGTCGCTCTCGGGCCGCGGGGCGGGGCGTGGGAACGCGGTAGCCCCGCGGAGTGACCGCGTCGTGACCGCGGCACCTGGTCCAATCGCCGCCCGTTGCCCGAAAATCACGCCCGCTTGTCACCGACGCTGCACCGCAAAAAGAAGAACACGTTTTCTTTTTTTTTTGTTCCTCGCATGAATAATAATTAGAGAGGAGAACGGATGCGGATTCCATTTTTTTTTTTTTTTTTTTTTGGTTAATGCCAATTCGTGATTTCGGGCCATCTGCTCTTACGTGTGTTAAAAAACCTGATCGATTTGAGTTTTTCAATTGATGCTTTATGCAGGTTGAATTACATAGACAGGTTCGCTAAATTCAATCAATCGAGAGTTGTTTTTGGCTCAACGCGCAGCCTTGACTGAGGTCGGCGGCTCTAATATGCAAATCGGTGTTTTCTTTGAGTAATTCGCACGCACCATGTGGTGAATAACGCACCATATTATACCTGTTTGCTGATCAGCAACCTGCGCGGCTTGCACGTGTGCCGTGTTGCATATCTACCAATAATTCATATTTTTTTGGGGCAAGCAGCTATATAGTGCAATGTATAATTATTTTTAACTTCAGTTAACGTATGTGTCAATGGCACCTAAATAATACCTTTTCATAAACAAACGAAAAAATACTTTACTCATGTGGTAATATAAACTTTATGGATTGTATATTTATGGCAGAGAATGCTCAGTGACACATTAAATAACATGATTTTATTTCAAACTAATATTTAGGAAAATTTAGAAAAGGTCTAGATTTAATTCATATAATGAAATAATTATTTTAATATTTGCAGGAAAACCTTTCAAAGTCAGGAAAATTTGATTAGTATTAGACATAATTTAATTAAAGATAGAAGTGACTACAGCAGAATAAATATAAAATCATGAAATCTTATGATCTCTTTAAATTACAAATAATAAAAAATTTAAAATAAAAAATATTATATTTCATTTAAATTAAGTTTTTCTAAAAATGAAACACTCTTTACTTTTAGTAAAAATAATTCAATAAATTATTATAAGTTTTTAAATAGTTGTTAATGGATTTTTTTAAATTATAACTTACAGTTGTTTAATAGCTTGAAACATTAACCTCATATAAGCTTTATAAAAAATTTTTTAACAAAAATTTTATCAGAAGTTTTAATTCCAAGCTAAATCTCGCGTGGTTGAAGAAGGTTTTGCTTTGAGCCAGCATTCGGTTTTGAAACGTGGCACTGGCAAAGCGGAAAGGCTTTTCTTCTTTGGCTGCAAATCCTGGCTGGGCCGAAAGCACATCACTTTGTCCGAGAGCAAAGCACCTCTCTTGCTGTCTTTTCAATTGTTTCGCACGGGCGGTGGCGAGTGAGAGAGAAAAGGGCCGGCATGAGAGAGGGCATTATTTTATCGCGCGGATTTGCATTTTGACGTCGCATGTCGTCTCCATAAATTCCGAGTGGCCGCGCACGACGAGGGGCTGCGCTGACCACCACCGCATGCAAATCCCCCGCAGCCAAAGACGCTCTGCTGAATTATTGAGAGGAACATCAGAGATTAGCATCTCTCCTGCTCTCTCTGCTGTTACGTATTACATTAAAGTACAAAAGAGAGAAAAGAAGGACGGTAAGGCGCGTTGCGTGCGTCCACGTTGCGTGCCGGGCGGCCATCGCGGGCCAATTTCCGGAAAATATCGTGCCGTGTCACAGAGCGCGGCGCCGAGTAACGAACGAACCGATGTTTTTCAATTTGAGATTAGCATACCGACGGCCCCCGGCTTTTGTGATTTGAAATGGAAATCCACGGGCAGGGCAATCAGCCTTATTAAAAGATATCGATTCGCCCGAGGCGCCCGAGCACACCAAAGTGGTGCTTGCTTTTATTGCCCACAGACAGGGACGACACAAAAAACAATGCGCGCATTTCGTATGCATTCGATTCGTCCAGATAAGCGCCCGGTAAATGTGTGTGTGGCTCTTTATGGTCCTGAGAGAGGGTCTGACTTGTGAGAGCCCCGAAGGCGCTCTCCGACACTCTCGCGCATTCCGAGGACACACCAAAGTCGCCTCGAAAAGTGCCTTGTTGTTCCTACGTGCCGCCGTGATCTTGTGTGTAATAAGGAAAAGACCCACGCTGGACCTCCATCATCAAAAATGGAGAAATTCTTCCTTAGTCGCGTCTCGCCTTGATCGAGCTTCGTCAAACGTGCAAAGAAATCGTTACATCCAATTTAGAAAATCCTTCATTCTCAAATTAAAAAAATATCTTTTTCTTTCAAATAATTTCTATAGAAAATATAGTTTGTGCAAAATTAATGGCAATTCAATAGAAAGTAAGAATTATTTAAAAAAATTAATTAACTATCTCATGTGCATAAAAATTACTGGAGTTTTTGTAGTCCTCATTTATCATAAAATAATTATGCGGATTTATAAATTACTCTAAATTTTTATCACATTTTTTTATAATCTGTAGACAGGAAGACCTCTTATCAAAATATTCAAGATCAATTAGTTACAGATTTAGAGATTTATTGACAAATGTGAGGTGTGCAAACCTCTTTGCAAATATATGAATAATTAAAATTTTGGAAATAAAAATTGATCTTCACAAAAAATTTTAGTTGCAAAGGATATTTATAAAGCAGAAGAAAAAGGACAGGTGATGATTTTTCTAAGTAACTCTAGATTAAAAACAAAGAAAAAAAATTACATTTCACAATCAGATGAGTATGGACTTAACCTTGAATTCATGTGAAGCAAAATAGGTGATCACATAATTCCTTAAATGATAATCTTACATTGATCAATTTTCATAATCCTTTGATATAAGTATAAGATACTTGATACTTAAAATTTTATAGATCATCTAAAATGCCTTGAAGGTGAACTTTTTCTAACAAATATTAAAAAAATTCTTATTTCCCTTTGCCACTCACCGCTTCCTGAATTAATGAAAATGCATAAACCACATGTTTTGGCCTCATGTTTATTTTTATTTACTCCTGAAAAATTTATATATTTAAATTGCTGAGAATTTTCTACTCGGATTTTATCAGCGCTCGGCGGCGTCCAGCTCTCGACCAAAATTTAATGAGTCAGCTCCCATTAGCCTGGTGAAAAATCTGCACTTATTACCGTGATCGGCTCCCCCTGCTTGTTTCGATCCAATAGAGCGCCTGCCGCCCGCGAGAGAGAGAGAAGCCAATTGATTGAAAAATGAAAAGCCGCTCTTCGGATAATATTTAACACTAATTAGCGTCGGGTCCAAATTGAATCGTGCCGAGAGACAAATTTCAAGCGCTCAAAAGGTTCGCGCAGCTGAAACGTCGAGAGAGGGCTGGAATTTTTTTATACTAAGCATCGTGTATATATATAAATTTATTGGGCCCGGTCTTTTTTCCTTGGAAGGAAACGATACTGTTATTGGCCAGGCGCATTACATCGATTTCGATCTGCCGGGGAATATACAATGAATTTTTCAAGAGCGGCAATTTGGAGGTCCACCTGGGTTATAGGCAGCGTTTTTTTATATCACACACAAGCGCGTCCCTCCTCTGCTTCTGCCGGCCCCCGCAGGTCAAATTGTTGCCATTTCGCTATTGGATTTCCATTTCTGCACGGCCAATTTGTCCGCTGCTCGCCACAGCAACAGCCACCCCGACGGATCCCCTAAAAACATTTAACAGGAGGAAGAAATCAAACGCGCTCTCCATGTGAATTTGGCATCGAGTGCGAGTGTGTTTATTTGGATGAGAGTCGTTTATTAGCTATTAACAATTCACTTATTGTTGGTGGTGTTCGTTGTCGTTCTCACTCGCGAGACAGGGCTATTCTTAGTACAATATGGTACAACAGAAAACGTATTACAGTATTTTTAATGTTGCTTTCAATACACAAAAGATTTTACTATAATCCATGCTTTTTTATATCGACATGTCGTATAAAGTTTTTGACCCAACCGTTGATACATTTCAAAAGGACCACGTGTATAATTAATTATGAGTTACGTTGTGATAACAGTATATTATTTTTTAATTCTATTTGTAAAAAAGAAACAATGAACCGTGCAGTCTCGTTCCAGCATTACAGAAACAACTGACACCGAGCAAGTATTATGCTTTTATTATAATTTTAATTATTTATTTCGTTATAATTTAAACACTTTTTCATTTCGATTCTCTCTGCGCAAAACCAGACTCTTTTGAGGTCCCTTTATTAAGAAGGATTTCGAAATACGTTATAGGCAAATTTCTTTTTTTGCCAAATGAGAATTTAATTTATTCAAAAAACATTCGTACACGTGAGAGTGAAATTTTCTGATGTCATGGCTGTTGGCGAAAAACGGCCGGATTTTAATTTGCACGCCCTGCCGACCGACTCACTCTCTTCTCGTTGTTTTTGTCATTTCAACTTTGGCGTTGACTGCCAGACTACAGAGCGAATATGTACACGTGTAATGACGAAGTCGTGCAGCCCTCAGGGAGTTTCAACTGAGCGTAGGTCGCGCGTTTATACTTGATGCTTGCTTGGCTAAAACACTTTGCTTTCAACTTATACACGTATTGGAGGTATATTGCTATAAATTGCGAGAGATGAGATGAGCTGTACATGAGACACCTACGTATCAACACCGAGAGCAGCGACAACTATGAATTGGCTTGCCAAAATTTATTAGTTATATTTTTTCAGTTCCTAATTACAGATAATTAATAAAGTGGTCATATTAAAGAAAAACTAACTCAGAACGAAAAATACAACTAAAAATTAAAATTGAGACTAGCGTAAAATGTTTGAAAAGTATCTTATTTAAAATTGCACGATATTTGTTCTCAAATTGGAGTCCAGCTTTGAACTTCTGAATCAATTTCCGAGTTTATTTGAGGCGAAATTCTGGGTTAAGTCAAAGTAATGTGATGGCATAGTAATAATAAAAAAGTTATGTAAAAGTTGGTTTAATTGAATTAAACATAATAAAACAGCACAAAGTAAGCTAATTCGTAATTTTCCCCTCTATTTAAATCAATTCAGAGATTCAGATGATCCTTACAATTTTTTAGGTTGGACAACTAATTAATCCACTTTTATTCAATGCGAATTTTGAATAAGTCAGACTTAAAGATTTACAGATTTAGGAAAAACTGGAATTTACAAGCGTGTGCTGATGAGCATTATTATGAGAAAAATGAGTTTCAGTGAGCAGCGCGGACACGTCTGTTGACGCACGCGTTGCAGTCCAGGAGCGGTTTGACGTCGACGCCGTGCTCACCAGCGTCCATCTGTTCGAAGTTGAGTGGCGAGTGCGGCGGTGAAAAGTCGGACAGCAGCAACAGTCGGTCCGTCGTTGATAGCAGCTTGCGATGGAGGTTGAGGTTTGCGCTGTGCCGGTCTCGGCTGCGTTTGGAAGGGAAGGCGGCGTTGCAGCCGTCAACGCTGCACCGGTGCATCAACTTGAGATGCACGTCCTGGAAGTGCATCTTGGCGCCGAAGTGGTTGTCAAAGTGCTGGCCGCACGCCGAGCAGCGCAGCGCCTCATCTTCGAAGTCGTCGCCTGCGTCGTCAGAGCCTGGGGCCGGGGGCGGCTGGTGACCCAGTCCCAGGCCTACGCGAAAGGGCGGCTCAAGGCCTTCGAGACGACGCAACGCGTCTTCGGATGAAGATGCCGAGGAGTCGTCACTCGAAGGCGCGGCAATTCGTGTCGGATGCTGGTTTTTCCTCTTTCGTTGCTTTGCCGGAGCTTCAACGCTGTCGCTGTCTCCAAGACCAGCCTCCTCGGAGGAGATTGACCCACCTGAAGAGAAGTCAAGATGAGGGGCTGAAAACTGGGGTCGTGGGGCGAAGGTGAGCCCCATCAGGGGTGGAGGTGGCAGCAGAAGTGGATGAGGGATGGAAGAGCGCCCATCGTGAGGAGAGATCTTGCGTCTCAGGTGCGGCGAGTGCAGCTTCGGGTTGGGGTTGGCGCTGTGCCGGTTGCGGCTGCGACGCGAACTGAACATCATGTTGCACCCGTCCACGGTGCACTTGTGCATTTCACGCAAATGCACCGCAGAAAAGTGGATCTTGAGCGCGCCCTTATCACAGAACGTCTTCATGCACACGCTGCACTGCACCCTTTTCTTGCCCGTCGCAGGGTTTATCAGCGTCGCCCCCAGAGGACTCCACTGCCGCTTTATTGCACGAGCCGATGACTCGGGGCCGTCCCTGCTCAGATTCAGAGCTGAGTTTTCGTCATCCGAACCTATATCGCTGTCCGATCGCGTTAAATTAAGTGAATTTAAAACCTTGTTTTCTGCTCGTGAACGATCCGGCGTTTTTTCCTTTCGAAAGTCTAGCGGTTGCATGCTTTGCAGACGGTTGAGCGGAGAAATGCTCAAAGGACTCGGAGCCGAACTTGCTGGCGAGGCAGTGGGTGTTGGTGGTGCTGAGGGTGGAGGTGCTTTCAGGAACGCCAAAGGGTCCCTGGCTGGCTTTTTGGCGAGTGGAGGTGTTTGTGAAATAAAACGTTTGATGTCCGAGGCGTGAGGTCGCAACGCAGGAGGAGGAAGGGGAGGGGGTGCGTCTAACGCCAACAATTGCTGAGTTATTGCTCTTGTTTCACCAAATCGAAGGAACTGCTGCAAAACGAGCGGCTCCTCTTCACGGCTGCACATGTTCCACCGTTCTAACACCCCTCCTTGTGAATCCTGAAACAATATTGAATTATTTTTAAATTAATTATTAATCTAAGTTTTTTAAAGCCTGGAACAGCGGTTATCAGATTTCAACTCTCCTGTCGGAATTGTCTTATATCATTATTTTTTATTCTGATAGACCACTATTTGCAATAATTCATTTTTTTATTTCTCAAATATTTTTAATTATGAATTGTAAGGGTCTCATGAAAATAATTTTAATTAAATTAAAAAAAAAAAATGAACAAATATTAGTTTCATATTCAAATTTTGTTACTCCTGAAATTAATTCAATAAGAAATTTTATTTTTCAATATTTAATTTATTTTTCAATTGCTTTCCAGTTTCATATCGGGGATAAACTGAATTTCCCAATTTTTTATAATATTGAACTAATTTAAAATTATTTTTAAAATATTGTTAATACAGGGACTGCCGGGGGTTTAAAATATATAAAAATTTGTCATAAGCAGCTTTCTACGAAAAATATATCATAATCTGATAAACGCTGTTCCCTGCTTAATAGCAAAATTTACAATGCTTATTATTTTTAATTCTACTCTGCCCCCTAATTTATTTATGTGTATAATGGATGAAATTTTACATGATTTTTAATTCGGCCTTTAAAAGCTCCTGCAAAACGTTAACATATTCACATCACCAAGAAGATTTTTTTCTTCATTGGCAGCCATTGTTTTTGTCTCATGCATATTTCGCACTCCAAAAGAGACCTGCTTATACACAAACAATTTGTTGTTGTTGCTTAACTGATTTAAATTTCAAATGTTGGAAACAGAGGAAAAAATCTGTTCTGGAACGCTGGCCATTCTAAACACGCGGCGCGTAAATATTTTGATGGCGCGAAAAGAGCGAGCGAGCGAGGATGGCTCGAGGCCCGCCATGTGACTGACAACACAATGGACATTAGCAATTCAAATGCCGCTTTGACCAACGACGAGAACCAATAATTATGGCCGAACGGATCTTTCTCTCGTGCACCTTGAGCTGCACGGCGGGTGCGTGGGAGCCGAGCTGACGCTTTTTTACTGGCCGCCTGTGCAGCAAGGTGGACGGGCGGACGCAAATGAAGCAAAAAACATCACGAAATTGGGTCTGCCTATCCGTCGGTTGGTCGCGGCGCTTGAGGGAAAAACCGTATAAAAACAGACCCCCCAAACTGTCACTCAGTCAGCTTGGACGTAAACACGGAAAATTTCCTGCCAAATTAGAAGCATAAACTGGCGGCGTCAAGTGCGGCTTTATATTTCCAGATCGCATAATTGGCCCCTTGTGTTTCGAATTTCCGAGAATGGCAAATTTGATGTTTGAATTCTGATGCCGTCGCGTTGTTATCGAGACTCGGATCGAACGCCAATCTTGAATGGGAAATCAAGAGAGACTCGTTAATGGTCGCGCCCTCCAGCAGCAGCAGCAGCAGCAGCGAGAGAGCAATCGTTGCTTTTTATTGTTGTTGTCACTTTATATAGAATCGAAATAAGAGGAGGAAATATCAAGTGAGCATTTGATTGTTGTGACGCGGCGTGCAGTCATTCGAGTGCATTACGTCCCGAGACGATGTATATCGTCGCGAGAGAGCACAACAACAATCACCGGCGGGATTCACTGTTGATTTGACAATGCCACCGCGGAGAGCGCGGCGCCGCACAATGAAATTAAAGAGAGCGCGCGGCAGTCAAGTGATGAGACGATTTTCGGCCGAGTGTGTATGTTGAAAGGGTTTTGTGTCTTTGTGTGCGTCCAGTCTGTTGCGTTATTGCATTATTCGCGCCCGCTGCGTGCATTCGACGTGTCCGATGTGCGTGGAGAATCAAATCAGACACCGACGGGCGGACGCGATTGAGAGCCGCATCAACTTTTGATTTCGTCTTCCTCTGTGGCGCCGGTTTAGAAACTGTCAACCGGTGATAAAAATAATAAATAAATTATAAAAATGGAATTTATTAATAAAATTAATAAGAAAAATCTTACAAAAAAACATTTTTAATCGATAAAATTATAATCATCTTGGTACAAGTTTTAATGTGCAAAAAATTTGATTCCAAGTTTTAATTTATTACAATAAAAGTTTATCCCCGGCATTATTACTTTTATTAATTTTTCATATTTTCTCTAAATTAACAAAAAAAAAAAAAAAACGAGCTTTTGTTTCAAATAAAACCGCGTCAGTGATTATAGTGAGCATCAAGTGCACAGCAGTTTTAAGGTATGTTGGTGTAAACTTTTTGAGAAGCACATGACACGCAGCAGACCCTCACGCACACAGCCTAATTCGGCGTGGCTAATGCGAGAGAGTCTTTATTGTTGTGAGTTTATAATATAAACATTGTGTGTTGTGCAGCGACACGATATGATATTTTCATAATATACCAAAAGGTGCTATTTATTACCCTTTGCTGCTGCTTCGGTTTGTGAAGTGAAAAAGTCCCGCCGAGTAATATGTAGGGAGTCTCGAAAAACGACGATATAATAATAGAGTGGGCGGCCGCTCTTTTAATCGCGCGCCAAATTGGCTATTTAGTTTTTATTTCCCTTGCTCTGGCTGGCAGACCGCTCGAAACGCGTGACATACAATTACATTAAAAATAATAATTAAGCTTTTGTGAACGCACGCAGAGCAGCTTGACTAACACACAAATTACAGCTTCGTCGCTGACTTTTAATAATATGAAAAAAGGCTCCGTTTGTTCAACCAAAAGGCTGCGATTTAAGAAAGATAATTATTTAATTTCATGAAATAAACACAATTAAACACAATGCTGTTATTTTATTTGAATCAATTATATTAGCTCATGGATACTTTATTTTAATATTAAATATTTTGATTGTATATCTGAATGAAGAATAAAGAAATGTAAATAAATTAGTGTAGCAAAAGATTTATGTTTTGTCGCTAAATTTTTAAAATAATTATAGTTATTTAGATTAAATTTATTCTTCCCTCTGACTTATACAAATTTTTATTATTTTAACATTGGAAGAACGAAGCGCATACAGATTTTACTATCTGCAAATTATCATAGTAAAGTTTATAATTAAAATTATAATCTTTTTGCAATCAATCTTAACGGTACTATAAAAGCATAAAGTCTTATTATATAAACTTATATAAATGAAATTCAAATTAAATAAATAAAATAATTTTTAAAAATAAATTAAAAAATTTTATAATTTTATAACTTTAAAATAAAATAATATTATTACATATGTTTTAAAATAAAAAATAAATAAAAGAGGTGGTATAATAAATTGACAATGAAATGTTATTATTCAAATAAAAGGACTCCAATGCAAATCAAATTAATTAAATTCACACTGCGGTTTCCGAGTGTGTTTGGACGCACGCGTGGGTTGCAGGGCGATCAGATTAACGACGTGTCGCGCCCATGTACACACAATTCAGACAATAAAATTAACAGCAGCAGCCGCAAACAGAGCAATTAAATTTATATTGTTGCAATAATATCACAGAGAGGCGTGCTTTGTGTTGTATAATATCATTTCCAGCAGGGGCATGGCGCGGATCAAACGGGTCGGAGAGCGAGGGACACCTGTTAAAGTGCCACTTTGTCCCGCGGCCAGTGTAATTGCGTAGTCGCCCTCTCTGCTGATATAAATGCGCACCAACGTTCACTTTATATAGGGGTTGCGAGGGTTTATTCCGGCCGGGCAACCAGCGGGGGATGAAAATATCCCGACTAATCTCTCGTGACTGCGATAAACGTGCAGATCAAAATGTATATTCGGGGCACTCGTGGCATTTAATTAGCGAGCGCCCTTCACCAAATCCCTGCATGCCTGCTCTCCAAAATATAAATCGCGAAAAAATCCACTTGCCAATATTATATAATATTGCATAGCAATTCATCAGCAAATTGACCTGCCGTGCATCATCATCCCTCGGGGTGCTTTTGATTCGCTTAGGGGGCTGCCCCGACGTTATGAATTCCAATCACGGGAATAAATAAATACACGCGGCGAATTGATTTGCGGGGAATTGCTGAATATTTCAACAGAACCATACGCAGCCGGCCTATTAATAGACATTATTGCGGCCGACGTTGGATTGACGTTAAGTGTCGTTATAGAAAAATGTGGAGAGTCGAAACAAAGGAGCAGTATTTTCCCTTTATGGCACAAATGACCTTTGTGTAGAATTGCGAAAGGGTTCCACAATAGATATATTTGCTAGCCGCGTTCTCACTCGCACGTATGCTCTCTTGTGAAAATGTGAACAAGTTATTAATATTTGGGAAAATGCAAACGGAAGAAAATTGAGAATCTTATTTTTTGATGATTAAGCTACAGGGCTTTAAAATCACCCTCATTAATTAAGGTTAATGCTAAATTAATTTTGATAAATGAAGAATGAGGCTTTTAATGTAAATTACATTATTTTTTTCTTGTTTATTTGTCCACATTGTTACAATACTTTTTTTGTATTCAATTGTTGAAAAAAATTATTTAAAAAAAGGAATTGGTGGATAAAACGGCACCACCACGAGACCATTAGAAAGAATTTTGCTAAAACTTCCAAGATCAAAAAGAAATTTCGCAGTTGCTAAGAATTATTGTCCCCTTATTATTATTATAGACCATTAATAAATAAATGTTGAAATTTTACTTTTGGTAATGTGGAGTGATGCTATAATTTATTCAAAACAATTTTTTTCTCTTGGGTCCAATTTGACAGATTTATTTTTCTACTTTCCACCTTAGAAAATTCGTGGAAAGTGTTCTTTTGATCTTCTCTCTGTTGACACTGCGGTGAGAAGGGTCCTCTGTATAAGGAGCTGTCAGGGCTATTCGCAGTCGAAAAATGCCACTGCGGGTCATAAAAGTGTCACCAGCTCGCCCGCCGTGATGCTAAAGCGCGCGGCATTCCAAGGGTTACATACACGTTCCCTTTTATGATGGAATAACGAAACGAGCGAGCGGCGCAGGTATATAAAATAATAAACTCTGACCCTGGTGATGAGGGGGAGGGGGTGCGCGACAAAAGCCTGACCAAATTTTGTGATTTATTGAAGGGCACTTTTGGAGATTTCAGAAGGCAGAATATTATTTTTGTCCTTTTTCTGTCTCTGCTGTGAGAGTGTCATTTGGTCGCGCTGCCTTGCTCTCCTAGAAGGACAAAAAGGCAGCACAACACAACCGGGGGCCATAAAAAGGCAGCTTTATTTTCACTTCTTTGCCACGGTATTTGCTTGAATTGCCATTACGCACGTTTATGCCTGGGAACATTTTTTCAACACATGCGATGCGGAGCGGAGCCTCTCGCGCGTTTGAAGTATTTATAACGCTCGGTCATAAATTTGCTAATTTGACGAGCGAGCCAGTTGATTTTTTCTCATTCTCGAAAGTCTGCATGACACAAGCACTACTTCCCAGAGACCCTTCCCTTCTAATAGCAACAATCGTTTGAGCGCACAGAGAAAATAAAAAAAGTGCCTGAGTCCACCGAAAAGCACTTAAAATGACCCATCTCTCAACTCTTGCTTGGTCACACTGATCGATATACAACCATTACATAATAAGGCACCAGAGTGTGATATAATTTTATTGAAAATATAAACAAAATATATAGGAAGCTATCTGATTTAATATGACAAAGTATGTCATAAAAATTACCAATTATTAAATTCCATAAAAAATAAGTGTTAAAATAATAATTTAATTACTTGAAACGATGAAAACCTTCTAAGAGCTTCTTTGATTAATATTGTTTTTTGGGGTTTAAAATGTTGCAAAATGCTTTCAACAAAATTGAAGTTTTTTTTCTGCAATCGATTTATTTATAATCTTAATTGTATATAATGTAAATGAATAATACTGAGTCAAATGCAAATAATAATTAGAAATTTAGAACTTTTAAGAAGACAATGAATCACATAACGCAAGGTTAAACAAGCCACATATTTCTTTTCTTTTGGTGACAACCCATATTAATAAGTGTTTTTGTTTTTTATTTTTTTTTTTAATATTTTTTGTAAAAGACAATATTATTATTTGTAATTGATCAAGTATTTTTGTTTATATTTATTTTTTTAAATTCACTTTAAAATCATTTTCCTCAGTTCATACTATTATTTTCATTACATGTAATATTATATGTTTTCCTATTTTGTGGGTTATTTATAGTCCTGCATAAGCGTTCGAATTAGATTGTGTAATTTAAATCAGATGAAAATTACAATGCTCTGAAACTGCTCTGAAATGAAAGTAAACTTTTATAAATCTTAATTGGTTTGATCAAAATTTGCCTTTTTTTCCCAACAAATAATTGTTTCCCTCTCAAATAAATAACAATAACAAAAATAAAGTTTAGTTCAGTTACCATGCCGTTCAGTTAACATATCATAATATGTTGGAAATAAAGCAATTTAATTTCTTAGATCTAAAATTTACAGCCTTTTTGTTTTCAGGTGCTCTAAATCGAAATGGGTGATTCAACGATTTTCCCCCGAGCCGGCAGAACAGTTTTGATTTTTACTGCTTTTTTTCTTGCACCTCGCCCTCTCTCTCCAAATCAAAGTTTAGCCCTTTTAAAAAACAAACAAACAAACGGATGAAGTACGAGGGCGACGACGTCATTAAATTTGAATAACACGACGCGAAGGCTCCCAGAAGTCGTCTGGACGCGGTCGGGGAGAGATTAAAAAAGTCGGAGATCTCCCGTCGCTTCGATTGGGATCTTTTGTTTACACGAAAACCACCGCGTTTCGCTCGCGCTGCTGGCATCGAGCATTAGAGAGCGAGATAAATGGTGCGGCGTAAATTTGTGGTGCGGTGTGCGCGCGGTTGTCAGCAACGTGTATGTGGACGCTGCAGCGTCCGTCGGCCAGTCGGTCGGGGGTATGTTTGGGCGTAGGCCCCACGTGCTCAGCGGGCATTTATCACCGCGGCCGAGGTCCTGCACCAGCAACGACGGTCATCGCAAGCGAGACCATTATCGGCGTAATTGATTGATTAGCCCTATTAATCATGGCGCTGCACAAACAAACCCTCGCTCGCCCTAACACACAAAAATTTTATTAAACATGGATGAGATATATCGATGCGTGGCACCCTCTGAAGCTGCATCCAGCATTTTTGTCATGGCGCGCCGTTATACGTTTTGACAGTCAACGCCTAGGTGATTTTATAAAGATGAATCGAATCTCGTCCTTAAAATAGGTAACAGATAAGTGCTTTGTAAGTTCTTTTGTTTGCATAAAAATTTAAAAGTTGTTTACTGACAGCATAAATTTCTATTTTAAATTTAAATAAGATATTATAGTGCAAAACCAAAATTGGAAAAATTGCATTGATAAAAAAAAAATGAACACAAAAGATTGCGCTTTATCAAGGCCACTGGTCAAAAATGCACAATAATTGAATCAATTATTGCCCGAGTGAGTCAATTATTCCCCGATGTACATAATTCTGAAATAATATAAAATAATTATTCCAGTTTGTAGTGTTTGTTGATGAAATTATGATAATTTAAAATAAATCGAGATGTGATGCCACGCTGGTTCATTTGAATGGAAAAAAGTACCCGCATTTAAGCAAAAATCAATCAGATTTTATAACAGTTTAATAAAATGAAAAATAATTTAAAATTATCGGCGCAGATTTGATAATTAAGATGTTAGTATAGCTTTAATTGATTTTAAATGATTATTTAATGTAAATAATGAATGGAACAATCCACTTTCCCAACATCAGATTATAAATTCATGTATTATAATTTAAATTTTAAAATGGCCTTGTTAAAAAAAATGGATTTTGAAAATGTTTAATCAATAAAAATAGAATTGCTAGGATGTTTGATATTATTTAGTAAAAACATCATGCATGTACCATTAAATTTTTAATAAAATAAAATTTAAAAAAAAATTAAAGTTAAATTAACAATAAAAATGACTGCAAAAATTAGATTATAATAATAATTTAAACAAATAATATTGTAAAAGCTTTGCTACTTGTATTTATTATATTCAAAGCCATGGTGATGCAATTTTTTGATACCTGTAGGTAAATAAAAAGCTTTTTTTTCGCTGTCCGCCCTAGGCCGTTTTCTGACGTTTTTTTCCAAAGCAGGTGAAGTTAGTTGCAAAATTTGTCAATTTTTTATGCGCTTATCTCGTCTCTAGACTCACCCCTTTTTCATATTTATTATCTTAATCCGCCGCTTTCTTTACTGCCAAGCTGTGCGCCGTTTATAAAAAAAAGACATGGAAAGGTGCGGAGGAAATTTCCTTGAGCTAAAAGAATTACAAAATTTCTGCGCTTTTGTGTCGCGCTGATAATAACAATAAAGCGTAAAAGCCGGCGAGATGCGCTTTTAAACAAACTTGCGCCGGGGAAAAAAGGCAGTGAAAGGGGTGCGCGAAATTGAGAGATATTCCACGCAGCAGCAGGTTCAAAAAGAGAGGGATGAAAATGCGGCGGATCGAGTCCCGTAGGGGTTATTTTGTAACCCTTGCCTCGTCGCTAGCTGCTTTCGCTTGCTCGGTAGCAGCTCATTAAAATTGATAACAATGACTAACATCAGTCTGCGCTCTTCCTCTCTCAGTCAAAAACTCGCAGCGCGCAGCACTTGCGTCCATTGATTTTTCCGCTCTCACTCACTCCACGCACGGTAATCTCACGTCGGCAAACAATGCCAAGACAAATAATAAGTCTGCGCGCCTCATTTAAATAAAAATGGTGAACTTTGCCGGCACAAATATATACACACCGCTCGTATAATGATCGCTCCCAAGTGTACTTGCACAGAGAGAGGGCTCTCAGCTTTTTTGCATGTATAATAAAGACCGCCTCATTTGCAGTATAATTTGTCGCTCCAAAAATGTGCAAGACTTTCAAAAGTGAAATAAAATTTGCAATAAAACGCAGCTCATTGGTAAAAAAAATTTGTAGATGATTATTTAAAAAAATAAAACTTTAAGAAGGAAAAACTAGCGCCAACCACAGAGCTTATTTATTTTTTTATTTTATTAATTAATTATTGCGAAATGTAAACTGGAATTAGATTTACTCACAATTTCCTGTTTTTGTTTTATGAACATTAAACTTAATTTATTAAAAAAAAATATTGACCTGTTGTGAGAGAATAAATGAATTGAATTTAATTAATTAGTGACAGTACAAGTAAAAATTACCTTATTAATTAACTTCTTAATTTTTTATCTGAATCAACTATCATTTAAAAAAAATCTAATTTAAATTCAAAATTATTTTTTTTACTAATTTTATTTTTTATTTTATCTTACCTGGAGGATGTATCCCCTGGAATAGTCGTCGTGGCTCCAACCGAAGCCGTGCAACACCTGGAGCACCTCGTCGCGCTGCAGGACGGAGAAGACGCGGTCGAGCAGGATTTTGAGTCTGATGGGCAGCGCCTGGCAGCCGTACAGCACCAGCGAGGCCACGTCGAACGCCACCGACGCCTGCACCGGCTCGACGGCAGGCCCCAGGCCCAGTTTGTCCAGTGCTGCAGCGGACATGAAACATACACAGAGTGTTTGGTTGTAGAGTCGCGTGACCGGCGTCAGTAAATAGCCTCCTCGTGTCCACACGTCTGATTTACAAGATAAGCCCCTGCATGATAATGGCCCTCCCTGCTGCAGCTTTTCCAGCTGCTCCCCCGAACCCAAACTTGCCAAATGATTCACTCTCGAAATGAATAATTCTGCCCGAACAAACTGACTTTGAATAAATGCAGCACAGAGATTCTCTTTGGGTGGGCCATCAAACGTGAAAGGACACGAAGATTAGAGCATTGACAAGAAAGTCCCCTTTGATTATTGAAATTCTGGAATTTTATTCATTTATTTATTCTCCTTTGAACGTGTTTTACTATATAAGTCATGAATTATTCTACTTATTTTTGCTATAATACTTTACGGAAAGCCAAGTTGGATGGAGTTTAAAAACGACAAATGACAATTGTTAAATTATTGAACCTCCATTCGAATTGAGTAGTGTATAAACATTTAATTTAATTTTACAAAACAAGAGATTTTTTTATTAAGCATTTAATTTTTCTTTTCTTTAATTAGGTTTTAAAATTTTAACAACATATGTTTATTACATAACATTTATTACTGGTGATACATTTTCTTTTTATTAAATTTTTAAAATATTAAATTTTTATTCTTAATAATAATAATTTTTTAATTTAGAGCTTAAAATCGTAAGTATTATATTTAATTATCAAATATACTTGTAATATTTTATATTTATATAAAAATATTACTTGTCACATAATATTTTAATAATAAAATATTGAAGAATAGATCCGATTCAATATAGTTTGGATTAAAAATTCATTGGATTTAAGCTGTATGCTAAAGATTACTGTTAAATTGCAACAGGGATTATGTTTCATGAACAAAGTTAAGTTATAATATGTTTCATGTTTTTTACCCGGCGTTGTAATTGAATGCAATATCATTCAATAGAGCTGCAATCAAATTAACTTAATTAACCTTGTTTAAAAAATTCACTTGAACCTTATTTTTCTAATATAATTATATAAAACATTGCAGAAAATTATTTGAAAAATTTTCATAATAAAAGGTTTCCTCCTCAATTATACTTTTTTTTTTTTCATTTTTAACGATTTGAAATCTTTTGTACTGCCCGTCATGACGGTATATAAGTTAAATATGATTTGGCCCGCGGCGAGCATGTCTCGTTGCGCGCTGCGGTCCCCGCGGGCCGGACGGGGTAATTGAGCAAATTGGATTTGGCTGATTGGCCGGGGAGAAGGGGTTGGGACCTAATCGAATCGCTGCGGTGACAAACCTGTTGAGTGACACATCCTCGCGTGCTTTTGTCATTCGAGTGCCGCAGGCGCCTCCCCTTTGATATCAAAATTGTCGAAACCGCGCCTCCGAGTCGAGCTTTAAAGAGGGTCGCTTTTTCGCGTGCAACCCTTTCGTGCCGGGCTGGCGCAATCTGGGGAATAAGCGACGCGTCGGTTGTGTCAGCCGAGGTGATCGAAAATTATTATAAGCTTTCGTCTTCAGAAAAGAGATACTTATCGCGGCGGATTGATCTTAAAAGTTCCCCTCGCGCGAGAGGGTTTGTTGCTTTGCGGCGGTTGACACGCGATCTTTTGTTTCTGATACGCGATTGCTTATCTAATACAAAGGCATGAAATGTTGTTTGAATGAGAAATTTGTTTCTCTGGTTGTTAAATGTAATTTGGAGGGGAAGTGGGAATGATTGATTTTAAAAAGCTGTCTCAAGTTTATATGCGGCATGTTTATATTTAACGATATAGGGAAAACAAATCCTGAAAATAATAAAATTTTTAATTTTAAAAATAATAAATTAAAATTTATAATGTTATTGTATTATCTCTCCTGAAAAGGTTTCTTATTCAACTTAAAAAATTCAAATTTTACAAAAAAAGTTATGTTATATTTAAGTGCGTGCTTGTGTCTTTTTTTTTTGTAGAAATTTGGTTTATAGAGTAAAATAATTTATCATGAAAGAGAATTGATTTTAATTAAAATTTCAAATTCTGAAATTGAGGAGTATCATCCATCACAAAATTATTTTTCTTTATTCTCTCGCACGTTTTCAAGTAATCCGCATAGTAATCCATCTAAAAATAGTTCTAAAAGAAAAATGTTTAAATGTAATTAAAATTTTATCTGGTATTAATGTTTTTGCTAATTATTATTTTTGGATTCTGGCTAAGCTATATCTATATGTCTGAAGTCAATTAAAAAATAAAAAATTCCTGCCAAGAAAATGAACTTGAGAGAATGTTTAATTTTAAACCCGTTTTTCCATCCTTTTTACTTCAGCACAAATCAGATATTTTATATGGTGTTTTAAATAGTCAGAATGAGTAAATTTATCTTACTGATATACAGCCAAATTAAATTATTAACTGAGACATAAAATTATTGGATTTATTTTTGTATTTTCGGAGACCTAAACTTGAATCGTTTGTTATCCATGAAAGCTCAAAATAGGAATGGAATTTTGATTACAAAATTTTTACGCAACACAGCTGTTATACAGTGTTTTGCACGCACCATCAGGAAACGAACACTCTCGGGTGCACAACACGCCGGACAATAATATGACGTGAGCTAAAAGTCCGAGCGGAGGGTTATTTCTGGCCTCAAGATGCTGCTTCGGTTGTTTCGCCATTCATCCGTAGCGCGGACAATTATAATTTCCTATATTTATATTATGCTCTCCATTAACCCAGCAGTTTGGAATCAGCATTAAGAATTAGTCTAATCAGGTAATAGTTACTTTAAAATATCTTCCGATTTATAGGATTCATAAGGGCTGCAGAAGAATATTGAGAAATCATAGATATCTGAACAATGTTTGGTTAAACGGCCGGTGAATATACTTATTTTTTAAAATATCTGATATAAATTATAAAAAAATGATAAATAATAAAAGATACATAATTTTATAAATATATTCATATTAAATTATAAAAAAATTAAAATAAATCTTTTTAAATTTTTTTATTTCTTAATTACTTATTTAATAAATATTTTATAAAAATATGTCATTATTGTTTAGCTAGTTGTTAATTAGTAATTTTTTATGTAAAAAGAAGTTGCTGGGTATAGTAAGAAGTATATAAAGAAATATATACCATAAAAGATCAAATTTTATCCCCTTTATATTCAACGTTTAGTGAAAATCAACAAAATAAGGTGTTGTAACCAGTAAATTAATATAGATACGTGCGCGATAATTTATTACACTTGAAGAGTTTAATTTTCTTCCCTAAATTTAATGAGATTAAAAAAATTATGTTCCATAATTACATATTATACTAAATTGCTTACAATTAAATATAAATCTTAAATTTTTGTCAAGGCCGATTTAATCACCAATCTTATTTTAAAGGAACTTTATTAAAATTGCGTTTTTTTCCCTATCCTCATTCTTCAATTAATTCCAGAGGAAGGAAGTGACTTTCATTCTTTTCTCTGTTTAGACAAGTTTGTGAATGAATCTTGTATGAATAATACTCACCGTGCGGCACCCATCCGTGTTTACACGAGTCGCACTGTCTGAGCTGCAGCTTTCCGGGGACGAAGCAGTCGCACGGACAGCCCGGCACCGTGCACCTGATGGCCTGCGAGGGACGACAAATGTGAAAAGTGCATTCCGCGTGCAATTAGCACCACCGCTCGTATTTGCCTTACCGTGTTCAGGGGGCTGGCGTGGCCGTTGGAGAGGCGCGGTGGCGGCGGCCGCAGGAACCACGAGGCCACCGAGGCCCACTGCAACAAACACATTTCGAGCTTTTATCCTGTGCATGTCGTTTTCCTCTCCACAGCGGCAACCCTTTTTCCATATCACACAAGGGACGCCGCCGCCTTTCGGATTTTTATTGCCCGGGTCTTTGGGCAAACAAACTTCTCTTTCGAAACGTGTGTGCTTTAGCGGGAGGACAAAAAATTATATTTTATTTGACAACTCGCCTCTGCTACTGTGCAACACAAAAACTCTAACAACCTAAAAGCAAAAAGAAAACAAAAGGCATCAGACGACTCTAATAAAAAGGGCAAATAGAGACAGGGAGACATTTTTCAGTTGACGCGGCATCACTTTGTGAGTTTTTTAAGCTTATACAGAGAAAATAAACATTGAGAGCCATAAAAAATGTTTTTGTAGCTTTAATTGGATTCTAAATTCTTTAAAACAAAAATATGAAAAATTATTCGGTTCCTCTTAACACATTTTGCCTGTGATTTAAAATATTTACCCATGGTATGCCTATTTTAATATTGATCAAATCGGTGCTTCAAAATCTTAAATTGACTCACAATAATGGTAATATTGACCAACCATTTTTTTTATTTTTATTTAATTTTCCTGGTAAAATAAATTGAATTTTTTTTTATAAAAAAATTCTCTCATAACTTAAATTATTTGGAATGATTTGGAAAATAAAATCAAAATGTATTTTGAATTGAATTTATTAAAGAGAACACCATAGGTGTGCGACATTAAAAAAAATGTATTTTTAACCCTTTTTTTTATTCAGTGCTTGAACTGATCTAAATGAATTTTTTATAATCTAATCTGGGTGCTTATCTCTCCCTGTCCGCTTTTCCGTTCATTCACTCGCGTTCGGCCGCAGAATTTATGAATAATCCACGCATCGCGTTTCTCATTACAAGAGTTTTGACTTGCTTGAATTGCATTTGTACGTTATTCACACACGCGTATTACAACATGAGAGCGTCCAGCAAATTGGATTACCGTCGTCGTCGTCGTTGTCTCGTCCGGAGAGAGGGGGTCAAGGGTTGAGCGAGGGGGTTAATTGAAAAGGGAACGAACAGGCTGCAGTCATATTGTCACACACACCCATTGCGGAGCACGCAGGGGAATATGTGTGTGTACATTATGTATGTGCCTCCGAATAATAATATCTGCGCTGCTCGTCGACATGAAAATAGACGCGTCATAATTCTGGCAAGGGTTGCTCAAGTGGCCTCAACTATATATACGTGCAGTATTATATATACAGCAAAAGGAGGAGGGCAGCACACAAGGCCCGTCTTTGACTATAGTATGAGCTCGATCGTGACCGGGGGTTCTGGGTTCGCTCAGAACAAAAAACCAGAGCGCCTCTTCCTATGTGCATTAGCGAAAGAGGGTCACATTTGAATTGAAAATATCGCGCTACTCACAATCAGAGTGCAAGCAAAGGTCTGCTGCTTTTTCATCGTTATAATTAAAACGGTATTTGTAAAGAATGTATATTTGAAATATGAATAAAATAAATTTTTTAATTGTATTAATTTGATATTTGCCAACATTAAAAATTGGACATACCAAAATTTTTAAAATAAAAATGATTTTTAATTACTAATTTCATAACAAAATTATTTTGTCAGACGCATTTTTAGTAAAGTTTTATTAATTTGGAAAAAATCTCTCATAACCTTGAGGTTAATTGACGTATTAATTGGTTACTACCATTAAAATGGTTATATTTTGGCAAAAAAGGAAAAAACTTGAAGAAAATTTGAAACTTCTAACATTTCCGCATTTCCTGGCTTGAACCATTTTAGTTTCAGAAATTTGTTTATTGGGTTCAAAACTGAGGGCAACTATGCCCCATACATGAACTCATCCATAATAATGACAAAATAAAGATTTAAAATAAGAGAGAAAGACAACATTAATATTTCTCAATGAATTGCTTTTTCAGCGTTGACTTGAAAAAATTTACATTTTCATTAAGACACAAGTTTGGTGGTAACAAATTCCAATACCTATAGCTTTGCACTTGGAAACAGTTTTCGGGAACATCAACACTTACAAAAGGAGCGAGCAGTTTCATACGGTGCGCTCTAGTACGCCCTAATAAGTTAACGTCGTACATAGTTGTTACAAAATCATTTAAGTATTCCGGGCAATTTTTATACAGAATTTTATGCGTCTGCACTAAAATTTTTAATTGATATCTATCAGCAATTTTTAAAATTTCACATTTTTTATATAACGGAGATAAATTTTGGCCGATTTTTACATCATAAATATAGCGGATTAAATGGTTCTGCAACACTTGCAATTTGTTTACCTGGGCAGATGTCAAGTTGCAAAAAACAATGTCACAATAATCAAAGTGAGGTAAAATTAAGCTCTTGACCAAATTAATGCGTACTTTTTCGGGAGTTACATTTCTAAATTTTTCTATGCTCTTTAATGTGCCGTACACTTTTTGCGAAATCCGCGACACTTGCGCATTCCACGACAAATTTTTATCAAACATTACTCCAAGATTTTTAGCTTCATGTACAAAATTTACTTCCGCATCCTTAAGGTACAATTTCGCAGTCCTGGTCTCAGCGATTAAAGCACTATTCCGTTCTGAGCAAACAAACATCGCTTGAGATTTAGTCGGGTTGAGTTGTAGCCCATTGGCTTCAGACCAGGAAACAATGTCTTTTAAAACATCATTCATAATTAGTATGCACTCGTTAACGTTATTAGATTTACAGCTGAGATATAACTGAGTGTCATCCGCATAAACATGATATTTGCATCTATTATTTAAAACTGCCGGTAAATCATGAGTATATAAAGAGAACAGAAGGGGTCCAAGAACCGATCCCTGGGGCACGCCGCATTCAATTTTACACCACTGCGAAAAATTCCCATCACTGTTTTTAATTGCATGTTGGCGGCCTAGTAAATAACTCTCAAAAAATTTAAGGACTGGCGTTGAGAAATTTAATTGGTCTAGCTTATGTAGCAAAAGACGGTGGTCAACTAGGTCAAATGCTTTTGAATAGTCTAAGAAAACCATGAGAGTAACTTCACCTTTAAACATTGAAACTCTTAGATCTTCTGCGATTTTTAATAAAGCGGTTGTTGTACTGCGTAACTTACGAAAGCCAGATTGAAGCTTATCAAGCACTTCATTTTTTAATAAAAAATCCATCATCTGATCAAAAACGATTTTTTCCAAGACCTTCGAGGTGACACACAATAAACTTATTGGCCTAAAATCAGAGCTACTTGAAGGGCAGCGAACCTTTGGCAGTGGCATTAAAATTGCTTTTTTCCAGATAGCTGGGAAATGAGAAGTTTGCAGCACTAGGTTTATAATAAACGTAAGTGTTGGCAGAATTATATCGACAATATTCAAAAGCATTTTGTTGCAAATACTATCAGTGCCTTCAGCTGGCGACTTTATACTTTTCAGAGCAAGTTTAACTTCCAATGGAGTTACATGTTTAAAATAAAATTTTTCACCCGTTATCTTGCGAGGAATTGAAAAATTATAATCTAATTTATCTAATACATTAGGCGATCTTTTCACAGTCAAGTCATTCACAAGCTCGTCCAAATTTTGCGAGAGTTCAGCTACTCGCGATTTATCTTTAACCAGTCCAAGAGATCGCAATTTACTCCACATATGCTTAGAGCCTGAAGTTTGCTCCAAGTTCTTATAAATTACTGACTTTTGAAAATTCAAAATAATTTGTTTTACTTTATTTCTGAGCGACTTAAAAATATTAAACGATGCACTTGAACAGTCTTTTTCCGCTCTCCTTCTTGCCTTATCACGATCTTTAATCAAGGATTTTACATTCGCTGGAAGCTTCGGATGAAATTTTTTATTTAATTTTAACTTTCTTAATTTTAACTCTCAGGCGAAGGAATGGATATCTTGCCCATATAAAAAATCTAGCGTATTGTATTTAATTTGATTTGGTTACTCTAATGCAAACGCGGTTACAATTCAGATTAACAGTGGTCCAATGGTAATCAACAGACATGCCATTGTGGTTGAATTAACTTTTTATTGGGTACTTGGATTTTTTAAAGGTGCAATTGCCTCCGAGGGAACTCTATGTGGAGTAGGATTTTAATTATATAATTTTAAATCAAAATAATTAATTTTGAGTTCATGATAATAATTATTATAAATTATCACAACAAAATTTGATAAGCCATATAATGTTTATTGTGTTATTAAACCATTATTGTGTAACAGACAAATATATTAAATTTGTTTGATAAAATTAATATTATTAAATTGATAATAAAAATAATAAAATAAATTAATAATTAAAAAACAGCATAATAATATTAATTGTATCATTATATTAATAAAAATATAAATTTAAACAAAACAAATTAATATCTTTAACAACTATTTAATTCAAGTAAAAAATTAAATTTTTGTTATTTTTAAAAAGTGATATACACGTCTGGACATCTGTGGCTTTCGGTCCTTTGATTCGAGTGGTTGTGTAGCTGCTCTGCTTAATGTAGTCTCGAGAGTGCATTAAGGCTGCCTCATTGCTCGTTATGCATATTGACAGGAGACATTCGGCAGGCCTGCGCGCGGCTCAATTACAAGCCAAAAGACAGACAGCCGATGCAAATTGAATCAGCCGCGAGTGACATCGCGCTCAACAGGCTCGAGTGACAGCTCGACTCTCTCGCTTTCTCACTCACCCCAAACGAATATGCTGAGCGCAGAGAGAGAAAAAGCGAGGACCGCACACAGCAGCACCACATTTGGACCACTTGAGAGCGCCGCTCGAAATATACAAGGCTGATAAAAAATATATTCCCGTCCGGCTGCTGCGCGAGTGACTTACTTAGTCCCGGACCTTTTTCCTCTCTTTATCTCTTTTTAATGCCTTTCTGGAAACGCAGACCTGCCGCTCTATCCAACTCGAGAGAGATGGCTTTTGATGGGCGGGTGACATCTCGGCCGCTTTTTCAGACGCCATCAAAGCACCAGCCGGCGGCGGGTCAATTGACGCGCGGGCCTGCGTTTTGTCCTCTCTCAAAGGGTTGCTTTTTACACCGCGCCCGCATAAAAAACTAAAAGTTTTGTACAAAACGTGCGTGGGCAGCAAAGTGCCTTCATAAAACTTTTTTACTCTGTGATGCCATGCCTTGGCGGCTTCTTTTCTATGTGATATTTTAAGATGTTAATCGAGCAATGAGATTTATGTACTTTAATCATTCTATCAATAATGGGTATATGCAGAACCACATAATTTCATCTAACTCACAACCAGATCTCTTTGATATAGAAAATAGCATGAATATAAAACAAAATCAATATGAAATCTTATTCTTAATGTTATAAAAATAAACTAATTTTAAAAAATCTTTTATTTCCAATATTTCAAAATATTTTTTCAATAATTTTCAACAATTAAATTAAAAAATATATTTTTTTTTTATATAAAATATAAAACAATTGGTTAAATTTAAGTTATTCATAAAAAACTGTAACTGCTTTAAATCTCAAACTTAGATAGTTATCCATTAAAAATTATGAGGTAAGGCCAAATTTAAACTTCAAAATTGAATACGAACAAACTTCCTCTGTAAATAATTTCTGTCAGCAGCAAACACAGAGAGATGATTGAAGACAAAATGCGGTGCTGACTGGTGAGATAAGCATTGAATAATAATAGGCAGAAATTGCTCTGCATGCAATCGATGCCTATTAGAGAGGCGATCGTAAAAGATAAGTGTGCAGAGCTCATTGCCCATAAAGTCTCCTGCGCGCCTCATTTAATATGAAAAATAAAAATCCTCCCGTGAATAAATCAGCATACAACAAGTCAATTGATTTTCTCTCTCATTTTTCGAGCCACCGTGATGCATATTTAAATTTCAAATAAAACGCGGATTGTATTAAATTGCCGACAGCTAATTTGCATAAATTGGAGATGCATACCGCGCGTTTCAGGTTGCACGTCTGCTTTTTATATATATCGGAAACACTGAGTGCTTGATTTCGCGTGCCGCTGATCCATTTCTGGATCAAACGCAGACAGCTGGCTCGTCCCTCGATAATAAATAGGAAGCCTATTATTTTATATATACGGGGCGCGGTAATAACAACATGCCTGCCTTATAGGTGATATTTGGCATTACGCGGCGCGCATTTCGGCCGCGACACCTGGCCAAGTGCGTGACCAAATCAAGGAGATGCACCTTTTTTGATATAATAATATTGTAGGTCTGCCTCCCGCGGCTTTTATTATCTTTTGTGTGTGTTCGCAGCGACTGGACGCAGGCGAGCCGCTCAAGGCTCTCGCTCAAATGTCAAATTATCGCGCCGAAAATTGAGCAGGCGAAAGAAAGACCTGCTTTTGTTCCAGCAGCCGCGAATCCCTTTGTGGTTCGGTCCGTAACGGGGCATTGTTTGTCTTTGGGTGGTGCCCCTTTGGACCCTGTGCGCGAGAGCCACGCGCTTTCCCACAGCATATTCTTCTTTTCATGCAGAGTGCGCTGACAATGAGACCATGCAGGCGATATCAAAATGAGGTTTATATGAAAAAGAATGGAGGAAATTATAAGTCTTAAAGGGAGGCAAAATATCAAGTTAAATAATCCGTGTTTAAATAATAATAATGCAGCATAATTTTGATAAATGTCACACCTATTGAATATTTACATTTTTTACAATATACATCGTTGAAAAATAAGGCATTCAATCAAATAGAAAACATAAAAAAACCTGCTGCAAAATTAAAACAATTTTTTGAAAGTTAAAAGATTGAAAATATAAATACTTAATGGAAAAATATCAATTTATTTTTTTATTCATTGAAAATTTACTATAAATAGCCATCTAGCCAACAGATATCTTTAAATAGCCAAACTTATTTTTTTTTAAATTACATGTTAGTAATTTATTGAAAAAAGTAGGAAATTGACAACAGAAAATAGGGCATATGTGAGCAGCATGTACGAAGGTGATAATTTTCTGAGAATTCTTCAGCCTACATTTTACCTCTCGCTCAATAACGCCAAACAATTGTTTTCCCGCAACAGGAGACAAGGCGTTATTATTTATTTTTGTGATGTTTCGAGGCAAAATTAGATTATCCTTTGCCAAGCTTCCGTCGGACGCCTCGCGGATGAGGACAATTAAATCGCAAGTATATAGGTTGCTGCTGGGCGCTGAGGACAGACACAACTTGCACAATGCATGATTGTATTGGTTGAATTATGTGAAGTGAAAGAGAGGAAAACACGCTGAGAAATTGGCATCCGCCGGCTCAGTCACGTCCATCCAGCATTCCAATTGGCATTTTAACTGGAGATGTTTTGCAATGAGCATCATTTGTTCGCGGCGGCAGATTTATTTATCTGCCGGCGCGCGGAGCATAAACTGATTTCGGTCAAGAGACCGCGAAAAAGAACGCCGTCGGCTCGCCAATTAGGCCCAAATGGTGCATAAATACACGGATGCCGATGGAGACGAAATTTCAGCACCGAAATATGCTAACGAAGACAAGATCAATACTAATTCTATATCACATTTATGTGAGACGACTTTGCTTTTAATCAATATAATATTTTAAATGGAAACAAAATCTTTGTTTTTGAAAAAAATTAAAAAAATTTAAAAAAAAATTATTTCTCAGTGTATTTCTAAATTTTTGAGCACAAAAAAGTTATATTTCCAGCTGTGTGGAAAAATTTCATCGATCGAGGATGTACATAATTTTTGCATGATATTTGCAAGAGCCGTGTGCTGCTGCGTCAAAAACGACGAGTGCGAATTGTGATTAAAAGGACGAGCGCCTGCTGAATAATTGATTGACACAAATAGCGAGAGGGAGAGACAAAGCGCGTCATTCTCTCACAATACGACACAATTCCGTGTGGGAACCGGCTGAGGGATGAATAAATGAAAAAACGCGATATTGCGTGTAAATAACGTACAGAATTGCAAATGCGCAGAGGCGTTGGAAAAAGGCAGATTTGTTTTTTCCTGCCAAATCTATATAAAAAAATTAATAAACAATTAAGTTAATCAACATTTATTAACAATTGAAAAAAGAACTGACTTAAAAATAAAATTAAAAATAATTAAATTACTAATATTTTATTTATTTATTATAATATTAATATTTTTTTTAGCAAAAAATAATTAAATACATAAATAAATAAACAGAGGTTAAATGTATTTGTTTTTAAGCGAGTTAAATAATCTTGGACAAAAAGTGGCGTGTTTTTTATATTTAAAAATTCAAGATTTTCATGGATGCATAAAGGAAGATTTAAAGAATTAAATGCCCCCAAATAAAATTTCAAGAAAGCAGAAAGCAGCCTCTCTGTTTTTTTTTTCGTTTTTTTATGAAGATCGAGAAGATGATGGGAATGCATGTCATTTGATGCTCGGCTGCAAAAAGTGGCATATCAAGAGCAAAAGTTAGAACGTGGCCATTTAAGAGCGCGTCGTAAAAGAGCGCGACCACTGCTGCGTGGTGCTAATAATAAAGTTTACACACACGGAAGGGTCTTATGCGCCGCTGACTTGAACGTTATCCACGCTCTTCTAGGAAACACGTCTTGCAACTCGAGCGGAACAATTTAATGCGAATACTGAGATTAGGAAAACTAGATGATACAGCTATAAATTCAAATTATAAAACGTTATTGGAAGACGACAGAGGCAGAGAATTGCAAGAAAATCAACAAGCGTTTTATGTTTCTGATTTAAAAAAATTCTAATATTGAATTCAAATAAATAATGCTGCAGGTATCAAATATGGCATAAGATACAAAAAAAAAAAATGATTTTTAAATACAAAAACTGCAAACAAAAAATTTTAAAAATAAAATTTTTTTAAGTAAAATGCAGCAATTTAATTCAATCAATAAATATTTCATGCTGTCTATAAAATTTTCAAAAAAATAAAAAAATTCAAATAAGTATATATAAAAATATAATATGTCTAGTTAGGGGTGTCACGCGTGGGAATCAATTCCCTTTGGCGGGGGTGAATGGTTAATTGGCTCGGAGAGGTGAGTCCGTTAGTCGCGATCGATATGCACGCAAACAGGGTGGTTCGCACACACGTTGTCGAAGCAGAGAATTGAAGAAAAAAGCGGGCGACTTACGTTGAGGGGAGCGAGTCGGAGCGGATGCATCGAGGGTGCTGCATTCGGCTGCACTGTCGGTGGTGCGTCTCCGGCGCGGTGGCACTGGCGGCGGCGAGGTCGGGGGCGGTGCCGCCGGGTCATGCGCACCCCCCGGTGTCACCGCGACCCCATTGGCCGGCCGCTGGGCTCATGCGTGCGACACCTGGTGACAAACCACGCCCGCGTGTCACTGCCGCCGCCGCCGCGCGCTGCCGCCGCCGTGACTTCCGGTCTCTGCGAGGAGCGCCAATCGATCGACCTGATCCTCCGAGCCGCTGACCCGGAGCTTCCTCCACTCGCGCAGCCCAAGCACACACACACACGTACCACCCTTGCTTGTGCGCCGCAAGTGCTGGTGCAGCGACCCCTCGAGAGAGAGAGAACTTTGAGCCCGTCCGTCCGTCCTGCCACCCCTCACTCTCTTCCTTTTGTAATTGATGCGATTTTCATCGACTGGTGCAGTCGAGGGTGCGATGAGTTTTGATCTCTGCTCTTCTCCAACGTCAAGTATTGAATATATAAAATTATTGCCATTTCCTTCCTACAAGTTCCTCATCCTGCATGACGATGGTATAATTTTTTGAAAAATTGATACCATTTGAAAGTGGTTCGCGTTCGCGCAGAAAACATCTTAATAAAGCAATAAAAGCAAAAAAATATTATCATTTGTCCGGATTAAAAATACAAATAAATTACTAATAAAATTTGCATTCAATCGTTGAAACAATAAATTAAAAAAAGGAATTGTTGCATGAACAAAAATGGCACCAACACTAGCTATAATTTTACTAAAACGTCCGAGGTCAAAAAGACCCCATAGGCCGCAGTGAGGCTCATTTAATTTTGAATTGCAGTTTGAAAAAACGTTTTATTTTTATGACATTTTTTTCTTTATTTTAAACACATATAAATATCAATGAGCACCAAGTGTGTGTAGCGGGTTGCATATCCAACTTGTATGCAGCTTGCCTAAAATTAAATTGTTCTATTTGTTCTCCAGTTATTGTTTTTATTTATATTTTTAAAAGAAATTATTTTCGTTTTTATATAGGTTCTTTATAATTATAGTAGTTATGGAACCTTTTTGCACTCGAGGTGTTCATTAATTTATTGATGAAATAAAATCCGGCTTCCTTTATTGTTTCTGCATTATAGAGAAAATCCCGGTTTTACTAGTGAAAAATATTTTAATCAATTTTTTATTTTAAATTTTATTTGCATGCTCATTTTTCAAAATGTAATTAAAATAGGTGAAATGTCAGCTTGTTTCATTCAAACAGCTCATGAATTAGGGTTGCAACCCGCAACCGAGGCTATAGTAAGGGATTTTCTGCATTGTGCAGAAACAATAAAGTTGCTCATCTTCACCGAGGAAGCCAAATTTTATTCCAATTTTATCAAAAAATTATTTTAATTTAAATTGTTTTCAAATTTATTGGTTAGATTCTATTTCTACTTCAGTTAAGGTAAGATTTGGAAGTTTTTGTGTTGAAATTGAGAAATAATAATAAACCAGAGCATTTTTATAGGTTTTGATCAACTTTTAATCGTGAGCTTTCATTCTCTCGTCCACATTTTAAATCTACATACATATTTATCGTTTTCGTATTTCGTTTTCGTCATTTACATATTGCAATATTTATATAATAAATACTGAGAATTCGCAGCCACATACGTCTATATTTATATTTATAATATTTAGATTGATGCATTTTTCTAAGTATTGCCGCCGAGTAAAAGTCACCGCAGCACACGCGAGTCATCTCCCGCGCCGAATTATTCGCGGCCGCCGCCGGGAGAGAGGAAAGTCCATCAACAACAAGAAGTGATTGATATGCCATTATCAAGTCGGTTCATTTATTAATGCCGTCCATGATGCATGACTCGCGGCGTTTTGGGGTGGCAAACACATACACAACACACTCATTTTCTCTCCGCGCACGTCTTTTTCAGAGGTTTCCAGAAGTCGCCTCCAGTTTTATATATTATTTTTTTTGTATAAACGGGGCGCGCAGTGAAAAGTGAGACGGTGCTGGCTGCTGGCGTCGAATGTGTCGCGGGCTGGACGTGACTGGTGGCGTAAACAAAAGCAGGGTGGGCCGCCGACGTCGAGTGGCGCCGACTCGAGCGGGACAGAAATATACCCGCCGCCGGGGCCATCTGGCAAATAAAACACGCGCGCGCGGTGTGCTGATAAATGGGCTTTTGATTTTCTCATCTTTATTCTCCTTTTGTACAGACAGACACAGAGAGACAGAGATTCGGATAGAGAGACAGGGAGCTGCTTTGAGATCAGCCGGCCAAGTTGGAGGAGAGGTTCTCAAGTTGCCGCAGAGAGTGCAGCGCCACGGACGACTCCTCCTTGCACTTGGAGCCGTCCGTCGAGTTGCGGTTGATGTCCTCGTCGTCGCCGGCGCTCGAATCTTCGCCGACGCCGCTCATGTTGACGCCGCAGTCGTCATCGTCGCTCGAGGGCGCCGTGATTCGTGTGGGGTGCTGGTTCTTGCGCTTGCGTGCCTTGGCAGGAGCCTCGACGCTGTCGCTGTCTCCGAGGGTCGCTTCCTCGGAGGAGATTGACCCACCTGAGGAGAAGTCGAGACGAGGTCCGGCTGAGAATTGGGGGCCTGGGGGGAACGCGAGCCCCAGCAGGGGAGGGGGCGGCAGCAACAGATGGTGAGGGTGCGACGAGCGCCCATCGTGAGGAGAGATCTTGCGTCTCAGGTGCGGCGAGTGCAGCTTCGGGTTGGGGTTGGCGCTGTGCCGGTTGCGGCTGCGCCTCGAACTGAACATCATGCTGCACCCGTCCACGGTGCACTTGTGCATTTCACGCAAATGCACCGCGGAAAAGTGGATCTTGAGCGCGCCCTTATCACAGAACGTCTTCATGCACACGCTGCACTGCACCCTTTTCTTGCCCGTTGCAGGGTTGACCAGCGTCGCCCCCAGAGGGCTCCACTGTCGCTTTATTGCACGCGAAGAGGCTGAACCTGCTCCGTCCCTGCTGAGGTTCAGGGCCGAGTTCTCGTCCTCAGAGTCGCTGGCGCTGAAGTCGTGCTGCTTCAGGTCGATCTTGCCCACGCCTGAGAGGGGGAAGGGCAAGGTCGCGGGCAGGGCGGCCTCCTCAGAGGGGCGCCTGTTGGCCGACGGAGGGATCACCCTGCGCTCAGGGCTGCACGATTTTCTGAAGTCGAGGGGCTGCATGCTTTGCAGTCTGTTGAGCGGGGACACCGACAGGGGGCTCGGGACTGAGCTGGCAGGAGAAGCTGTCGGGGTCGGTGGAGCTGCGGTGGGCGGCGCTGCGGCCTTCAGGAAGGCCAGAGGGTCCCTACTCGAGGTGGACTTCTTGTTCGGTGCCGGCGTCTGGGCGATGAAACGCTTAATGTCGGACGCGTGCGGCCGCAACGCTGGAGGGGGAAGGGGAGGGGGAGCGTCCAGGGCCAGCAGCTGCTGGGTGATGGCCCTGGTTTCGCCGAAGCGAAGGAACTGCTGCAGAACGAGCGGTTCCTCCTCACGGCCGCACATGTGCCACCGTTCCAAAACGCCTCCCTGAGGATCCTGGAACATAAAGGAAAGAATAATTTAAACAAGGCCTATCTGAAAGGAGGTTCTGGTTTGTATAAACATGCGTTTGCGACGGCAGCGGTGTTGGTGAAACAACGCGATTTTAAAGCTTTGGGGAAGAACGCGACGACGTGGGGGTGCTCGATTCGACTTTCGGCCAGATGGGTGATTTTGGTGGATGGGCCACCGGAAGCAAGAAGAGCTGAATGCCCTTTGTCGAGAGACAAAACCGCGTTCTATTATTCATTCAAAATAATATGCTCAACGGACGACGAGAGATTTTAACCAAATGCAAAATAGGCCTGGGAAAAAACCAAAGAAAAATAATTTTTACATGTAATTCGTTTTGCGAAACGAGCAAATAATTGCAGGGCCAAACGAGGAGTTAAACGTGTTTCTTGTTTTTCACTTGTTCTTAAACAGCGTTAATTACACGAGGCGGATTTCGCGGCGCAAAAAAGGTCCGAGGTGCATTAAAAGGCCCGAAAGAAAAACAGTTAAAGAATTTTCGGCCACGACACGTTTTTTTTCTACTTGAGCTGCACCAACTGCTGTTGGCTCGGCGGTAATTGGCGCGAGGTGTTTGATAAGCAGCGGCTGCAGAAAAAATTCGGCGTGTGTGCTCGTTGGCTGCTCATCACGATTGCAAGACGTGCTCTCTCGGCCATAATGGGCTACACCATATAATAAAATAATGTGCACGCGGTGTTCCAGATGTTTTCAATTCGTGTGTGTATGTTTTTATGGCCGGCGTCGTTCCCGTTAAAAATCGCCAGCGCGAAAATCTGTGCAGCCGGTAATTATTTTCATCGGCGTGTTGGAATTTTTCACTTTGTTTTTCACCTGCATGTATATTGAAACTCGCGTGGGATTAGCCAAAAAATTTGCCCAGAGTTCATTTTCGTTTGGCGGAAGTGGCGCTTTATTTTCGCATTTCACCGGCCCGGTGCTCTTTTACACACAAAATTCAAATAGAGAGTTTGGCATGCAGGGCATGAGCCGCGAGGGAGCGAATCGATAAAATCGCACATATGCGATGTTAATACGAGAGAGTGAGTGCCGGAAAATGGCTCGAGAGAGAGAAAAGAGATGAGCTGTTACCCGGTAATAAAAAATAAATTATCAAAAGCTGCGTGCCGCTATATGATGATATTATTTCTGCGGATATAGAAAACGTGCAGCAGTGCGGCGGAGACCCTCTCGTTCTCTCTCCCAAAACCTAATCACATTTGCATGTCTCCAATATTGCACCACACATTTCCAAAAACTGCTGCCAGCATCGAGGACGAGCATTAAATAAAGTGTCTCGGGGCGCATAATGTGAAAAGCGAAATTTGGTATAGCACATGAGGGTTTAAAGTGCCACTTAATGGAAAACAGAACCCGAACGTAAAAATGGAATTGAATCCCAACTGACTGCGTTTTTGCAAATTGAAAAAAAAAATCCAACAGTAGACGAGTTATTTCACTTTTGATTAGAATTAAAACGGTGAGTTGCGCGAGTTTGTTGTGACGTTGGAGGCTGCGAATTGAGCAAGCGGCGTGCGTAATCCTCTTTACGGCGGCGGTTGTTTAAAATTTATAAATGTGAGAAAGAGAGGCGCAGACACGAGAGTTATGCGCGCGCGGCACATTTGTGAGGCATCGTGCAGCATTTGGGAAACGACGATTTCGACTGTGTGATGTTCACGACGTGATAATCAACGCCGGGTTACACATTAACAAGTCGGCCGTGGATTGTTCGCACTCGATTTTTTATCGTGCCGGCTGACAACGAGACACAAAAGAGCCGTTGCATTCCGAGCAGACAAATTAATTGTTGCCTAATTAGTTTGTGCACGGCTTTGTTTTTCTATGAATATTTAATGTATGAATATTAATTTAATTAAATAAAAGAGGCGAAAGACTACCATATTATTAAATTAATTAAAAAATGATTAATATGCATAGCAGATTTTATTATAAAATGCAGAAGTTGTGAAGAATTATTTAATTATTGTTGCATATATGTCCACATTGTTATAAATACATCTTTTACACTCTATTGTTGAAAAAATTTTAATCAAAAATGAATTGTTGCTGGGAAAAAATGGCACCACCACTAGCAAGAATTTTGCTTGAAAAAATTCAAGATCAAAAAGACTCCATTCGCTGCAGTGAGCCTTGGTTGACTAAGTTTTCTTTTAATTGTTTAAAATACAATTAATGTAATAAATTCTGATAAATTCCTTTTAAAATTTATATTTCTGAACATACTTCATTGTTAATTAAATTTATTTCTACAAGTTTATAATTTTCTCAAATTTCTTTTCTTTAAACGCAGTAATGTAAAATAAAATTCCACAAAAGGAGAGAAAACTTTTAATATTCACTGGACAAAAAGCAGCAGTAAATGCACCCTCGCCCTCTTGTTTTTTCTTCTAATTAATAAAAAGCTTGACCGGCAGAGTGCAGCCCTTATATGCGTGAAATTTTAAGCAACGAGCGCTTTTGTCCCTCTCCCGGTCGGAAGTAAATTTTTCTCTTCCGCAAGAGAGGTAAAAATTAAAATGCAAAGACAAAAAGCCAACCCGCCTTTGGCCTCTCGCACACAAGTTAAATATTAATTCGTTGGAATACGCCGTGCTCGCCTCGTCTTGTTAAAACAGTGTACATGCATTCGTCGGGGATGAACTCTAATTTTCCCCACACGTATAATACATAAAACGTGAGAGTGCGGTGGCGGCACAGCAGCGAAAGAGCGTGTTAGGGGCAAATTAAATTTCTGCTCTTGCGCGACGGTCGGCCTGCAGGGGCGTGCATGTCATGTGTGTGCCGCTGTTTAATTAAGAGATAATCACCGCTGATGACACAGTCGATAAAATTAGGATTATGGTGTGCGTAATGACACGGCACAACACTATTATAAACATACACACACGGTTCGTGCCGCCTCGCAAGGGCGCCGCGTTTAAATCTCGACAGCTCGTTATTATTCAACTGCTCTTTTTGGGAAAAAGCAGCTGGCGTTATTTTTGCGATTATGATATATACTTATTTATTACGCTCATTGTGCCGGCGAAACACCTTTGCATTAATTGCACCACTACGAAGGCAGTCCTTTGATTTTCCCACGCCGTTCGTTGTACTTTTGTGTTAATCATGAGCAAACTCTTTCGCGTGCCTCGCATCTCTTTCGCTCTTTTCTCATCTTTGGAAATTTTCTTCGGGACGCATCGCACGCAAACGCCATTGATCAGTTTTTCGTCCCCCTGTAATATTCTGTCGATTAACATCTTTTTTTCTAATTGGCTCGGCCACGCACCAGAAATTTTCATAATTAAAACGGCCAAAATAACCAAACTCATCAGAGCGACCCTCGCCCTTGCAGTTCGCTCAATTTTCCATTTTATGTATACAAAACTGGCAGGGCGAAATTTTCACGAGGAGAGCAATTGAAACCGAGGAAGAAAAACAGCCGTCGGAAAAGAATAATCTTTCTCTCTCTCTCTCTGCGGCAGGGATTTTGTGAAAGGAATATAAATTTGAAAAGAGAGGAGCGCAAACAGCGGAAAAAGCAGCAGGAAACATTTTTGGTAAAGGGATTAATTAAAGCATTGCAAAAAAATCCGAGAGATTTATATATTTGCACGCAGAAAATCTGAGAGAGAGGAATTGCGGAGATGAAATTTTGCGTTTTGATAGACAGTGTCCCGAGATGGATTATTCGGCCCTCTTCGTAATAATACGTGTGCGGTTTGGAAACATCAGAGCTTGGGGTGATTATCAAATTTTCCGAAACCCAACCCTTTCGGCTGTCGAGATGCAGAGAGAGGAGAAAAGAGCGGCTGCTGATATTTTGACGGAGGGTCGTCGCTTGTACATGTTGTTGTAATTTTTCGCCGAGGAGCGGATGAGTTAGTTTTCCAGAGCGGCGCAACGGACGGACGCGATGATTGGGTGCGGTTTTTGTGCTCGCAAGAGATCCCCTTTGAATAATACGCATGCAGATGGCTGAATTATGGCCGAAAGGATTAAAATGCGCGGCGGCCATGATTGAGAGCAGCTCGAGCAGCAGTGACTTACTGGGAGAGAGATCCAGGTGCTGCATCTGCCTCTTACGTGTGCTCTCTCTCAACACACTGCCGCCGCGTGTTGTATTAATAATCAGCCCCCTCATCAACCCCCCGGGCACGCTAAAATGGCGGGCGGGATGTTTGTTAATCAGCGGCGCATCGAGCGAGAGAGAAGAGCTGAAAAGCGTCAGGCTGTCTACCTGCGGGACGAGCACATTTTTCGCCCAGTGTTTTTATACTTTTAATAAATGAGCAGAGATGAGAGAGAAAATATAAAAATCGCGCCTTAGCCGAGTTTGAGTGAAGGGTGTCTAATAATATCGTTTGGTTCTTCAAGCAGTTTAATGATTTGATTAATTATTTATTCTTCTTAGTCAATCAAAAATTTCGTTTGTTTATTACTCACTGCGGTGGATGGAATCTTTTTGATCTAGGATATTTTAGCAAAATTATTGCTAATGGCGGTATCGTTTTTTTCCAACAGTTCCTTTTCTAAATAAATTTTTCGCAACGATCGAATGTAAAGAATGCAATTATAACTATGATGAGAAATACAAAAAAGAATATATTTTTTTTTTGTTAACTGACAATGAGTAAATTTAATTATGAAAATAATATCGAAATTCTTCGCATTACAAACAACTTTAACATTTCTGATTCATCATGACTTTCATCATAAAAAAGGTCATAAAGTTTTTCTCTCGGCAGATTCGAAACATTCAAGTTCTTTTCAATCCCTTTTTGCTCAAATTAATTTGATTTTAGGCAACTTTCTCATCGCATATGTTGTGCAGGTTGCATTTCGCCATACTCAAATATTGCTACCCTGCTTCGGCCAAATACGTTTCAAGATCAAACTAAAAATTTTAAAAATTAAAAACTATTTCAAAACGGGAATATAAATTTAAATTAATTTTGTTCAGAATGTTTCGTTAGAAATCAGCTAAATTAATTCAAATAATTAATGAAAACCGGTGAATATTTCTGCTCCCGTTCAAATATTTTCAAACTTTAATATATAATATGCAATGCTTGTCAAACAATAATTTATTTACAATTTGCGTTTGAGGATTGTTAGTTGTGATAAATTTTTTAAATATTTATTTATGATTGAAAGCAAACACAATAAAGAATAAATTATATCTTCGGCCTCAAACGACAGTACCAAGGGCAAAGCAATTTTCTCAAGACGCGATTATACATATTTTTGTCACATTGGGTGGTCTTTCTGTTTTTCTTACCTGGAGGATGTATCCCCTGGAATAGTCGTCGTGGCTCCAACCGAAGCCGTGCAACACCTGGAGCACCTCGTCGCGCTGCAGGACGGAGAAGACGCGGTCGAGCAGGATTTTGAGTCTGATGGGCAGCGCCTGGCAGCCGTACAGCACCAGCGAGGCCACGTCGAACGCCACCGACGCCGAAACGGGCTCCACCGGGCCTAGGTGGCCAGGACCCAGTTTGTCCAGAGCTGCGAACACAAAAAATTATACATAAACAACTGGCTATTTTTCATTTGCATAATAATAAATGTTTTGTCATTTCAATGTCGGGGATTTGTTATTACAAATCGTTTCCGGGTGTGCCTGAGCGCTCGCGTTTTGGCTAATTCGTTTCGAGCAATTAATCACTCGGCGCACCTTGAGCTTCAAACGGGCGCATCGCAAATTTCGGACCACGTGGCTCGCACGCCCCGAGGCGGCAGCTTTTCCAAGCCGACGATCACATGAAAATTAATCATCCCTCTCTCAGCGTAACATTCAGAGAAACTGCACCACTTCTCTTTGTGTCCGGTGCTGGAAATTAAATTATTTTAACAACCGCGCAGCAGCAACAAAGTTTGATTGTTCACCCAGAAAAACCTCCTCATCCGGAATGAATCAAAACTAATTAAGCGGGCCGAGATTCAATTTATTCCCTCGCCGTAATTGGGAGAGCGAATTTATCCACACGGTGTTCGCCTTGGAGTGACAATTCATTCGTCAAACGCGCGCGGCCTCAAATTGCGCTGCCTTTTCGATTCGCGTGAGAACGCCGAGGAAGGAAAAGTCGTCGGTCGCCGGGGGCAAGAGCGAAATAAAACGCGCTACATATATAATTTATAGAAATGAATTCAGCGAGTGTCGCCCGCGAAATTATACAATTTTATAATATAATCTCATCGCCGCACGAGCATTTCCATTCTCGCCGAAGAATATATAAATTGGCTTGACAAAATTGTGAGAACGAAACTGCTTTATGCTAATTAGCGTTCTGCAAGACAGGCCAAGGACAATGAGCACGGCGAGATGCAATCGTGTTCACACACAGTGAGAGAGAAAGAAAGACGGACGGACCGTGCGTTTAATTAAAAAATCTTTTGCCGCGGCGCAGCAACGGCCGCACGACGGGCGCAGAGGACATCATACGTATGTGTGTGTATAAGAAAAGAAGGATTTCTAATTTCAGGGCCCCGCCCCCGACATGACATGGTCAGGCAGGCTCAGGTAGGCCCCTGGGCGATTGTGTTCCATATTGATGAGAACAAAAGGTTGTAAGGACGCCCACATGTGATGAAATAGCGCGCTGCAGCCATCATCATCCCTCATCACATCAAGGTCAGACCACAAAAAATAACTAACTCGCTCTCGAGAGTGAGCGGCGGCGGCGGCGAGTTGAGCGCGAGAGCGGCGATCGCGGGACAAATTACCTTTTAATACCACATTCCATCGCCAGCGGCCACGGTGACAATAATTACAGCCTCGCTCCGACCAGCGAGATTGGATTTTCCTAGCGGGACCGCGCGCGCGGCAGATATAAATCGAGACGAGAGAAGAGAAAAAGCAGAGACTTTGTGCCGCGAGTTGTCATTGAAATTCAAATAATCCGTCGTCACGCGATCCGTTTTCAGTTTTTCTCTCGCGTTGGCATTCTTTTTTTTTATTGCAAGTCTCATGACATCAGAACTTCGTAATATATTTTCTCTCTCCCTTTATTGAAAATTATTATAAATATATAAACGCTGCAGAGAGGGACGACGAGACGAAAAGTGAAACCGTAACCACCCCTTGCGCGCTCTGCTTCTGATTGACGCGCCAAATTTATTCATAATGGCCCTCGCACGGCCAATTCTTCAATTTTTTAATTAGACCCTCTCCTCGGACCCGCCAGAAGCCAAATTTGCTCAAGCAGCAGAGCGAGGGGTCACCCAGCACTATATTTGTTCAACGTACACGCGTGGAAAGTGGATGGACGGTCTGTTAATGAAGAAACGACGGCTCGAATTTGTTGTTTGTAATGAAAAAGTAGCCTGGCTGCTCTCCGGATCGATGCGCGTTATGTTTTATTAGACGCGCCTCGCCACAAATATGCGCGAGCGAGGAGGAAATTCCGCGTCCAGCAGCAGCAGCACCACGATTTTCGGTAATCAAGAAGCAGCCCGTCGTCGCTCGGGCGAGTCTTCTGTATGGCTCGCTTTTGTTTTGATTATAAACATCATACAAGCAGAGATGGGTAATTTAATATGCAAGAGGAGAGGATCTGTTCGAAAGCGAAAGAGTTTCACCCTGCTGTCAGGATTATATTCACAGAATTAATAGGATACAATGTCAAATTACAAATTTAAATATAATTATACTTAAAAAAAAAATGTATTCAATGCCAATTTTTTTTTTAATTCTAATGTCAATCAAATGTAAAAAGTTATTTTTCTGTGATCATTAATGGGTCAAGAACCCTTTCATTTGAACCAATAGTTAAAATTATTTATTTAATACATATTTCTTATAATGTGACAAATTGCTAAGGCCCGATTACATATGAAATTCTTGGAATCAAAATTTGTTGAAACTATTATATACTAGCAAGTGCTGTTTTATTAATAATTATCATTATTCAAATTAGACACATTTTTTTAAAGCTTAATGCGCATGAATAACTTTGAAAGTTGATGGAAGTTTATATTTTTAAATAATGTTTATTAAATAAATAAAATAATCAAATTATGATAATAGATTAAAATTAATATTTATGTGTAGTTAATATGTTAAAAATAAAATTATAGTGATTTTAATTTTAAAATCGGCTATTTCTTCAATGAGTCTTGTGAGTTGGTTAGTTAAAAGAAAAAACATTATCCTGATCTACATGTTTCAACTGTGGGCTGCAGCCATAATTCATGAGCTTTGAAATTATTTTATTACAACACATTATTAATTTTCAAAAATTATTCCCATCAACTTGGAAAATTTTTGAGAAAATTATTAGAAGTTATATTTTTGGCCAAAATAATTTTTTAAAGACAAAAAATAAATGAATAAATAAATAATTTTCAACAAAGAAATATTTGTTTTAAAAATTTTAGACAAAATACCACAAAAATAAAATAATTGCATTTTCATAATATAATTGAAACATGAAAACTGCATGAAATTGTAAACGCGTTTTTATTATAACTTTTGTTATGAATTCTTGTAAATTGAAAATAAAGAAATTATCACTATTTTCCATGAAAATTTAACGCATGGGAATAACCAAGAAAGTTTCCTTATTGTCAACTGCAAAAGGAAGGAGTTTTCTTTCCTTATCTGCCAAGCGATTCATATCGATTCATCACACACAGGATGTAGTTCGCCAGTCACAAATAATTTACAAGCGTGACAAAGATGCATTATAATTTTTGAAATGACGCGATTCCTTCTCTCTCTGACTGACCTGTAGCTTTTCACACACAAGATTTACAAGGCAGAGGATTTACACTGGCAGCCACCGCAGCGGCACAATGCGTGGGCAGCGCGCACAAAGCAAAAGGCTTTTTATTATTATTCCAACCCTGTCAGCACCGACGGACTGACGAAAAAGTGAAAAGAGAGCGTTGTAAAAGCTCTGCTGGGTGTAAAATTTAAAATTGAGAACCGCACGAGGGAAAAGGGTCGTGCTGCTGTAAAACTTTTGTTCGAGAAGCAGAAATCGTAAAATTTTTTGCTCTCTTGCGTGCAATTGAATAAACAAGCGACGACATGTGACTCGTCTCGGAGATGAAAAAGTGCCGCGTGCGTCGTTTTTCATCTTCATATACGAGAAAGATGCCCCGGCGATAAAGTTGGAGAAAATCGAAATCGCCACCGAGCCGGTCGGAGAGCAGAGGAGATGAATTAATACTTGCGCAGGCAAATTTTCCGGAGGCTTGTTTGACGAAATGTTAATGGCGCGTCTAAATATTAGCAGTGCGCAGTTTAATTTGATTTAAGATGACAAGGAATTACATCAAGAAGATCCCGAGCGTAATCCCCGCAGGCGAAGGGGTGGTTTGCCCTCCTGTCTGCTGCAGCCCGCCGCGCTGCTGCAGCAAACTTTGAACCCTCTCTGAGCGAGCTGCTGTGTTTACATTTCCCTTGGGTCGCTATTTTTATAATTCATAAAACAAAAGAATAATAAATAATTTTCAAAGGGTTAATTAAAACCGGGGCCTCTTTGCCTGCCTGTCATCGATTCTTATTTCAATGTTGACTTTTTCTCTTAGGCAGAGAAAGATAATTTCGCGGCGGAGATCAGCAAAAGAACAAACACGTGATGATGTAATAAAGGCAAGAATCATTATGTGGAGGTTCAATTTCGTCTCAGGGTTGTTCTTTGTACTGCTGACGTCAGCGCACTCGCGCGGCGCAACCCGATCCGTCCATCCGCCGGGCGGCCACATGTGTCCGCTATATGGTCGCGCGGACACAAGGGCCCGGCTCTGTCCCGTCGTCGGCTGACCCGAGATAAACGATGACCTCAAAACACCCCGTAAAGCATCTTCCCGGCCCAAGATAAGACTGTCGTCGAGAGAGACAGAGAGAAAGCGCAGCGTTTGACATCCTAACGAATGGCACCGCACTTTGTCATCGCGCACATAAATCTGCACCAGACCTTATCACCTGCGCCCCAACTTCGCTCTTATATAAAGATTTTGGACTTCCCCTCTCTTGGAAGAAATTTCTCGCAAGTGCACTTCCGAAATATCCTTTCATCTAACAATAACGATAAAAAAATCAAAAGGGAATGTAGCTGCAAAATACGCGGGTTATTATCAAAAATGATGATAATACAGAATGTTGAGGTACAGATTATTTTTGACAAAACATATAGCAGTGATAATATTTGTTTTAATGAATTAGAGTATTATTTTAATGAAAATGCCAATAGATGGTGAAAAATGGAATTATGTAGTCTCTTTTTGACGGTCGACAATTTAAAAACATAGATCTATAACTTACATGTAATAGAATTTTTTTCCTTTCCTTAGATAAAAACTGGATCAAAATAAAGTATATGTTTTTGATTGAGAATATGTGTGTAATTCCGCTTCCTAAATATGTAAATTTTAAAGTCGTCATGGATTAACCACCTATCTTTATAGATCAATCAACACTAATCAGCAGTGTCGAAATAATTTTAATTTTAAATATTACGCGACGAATTGTTTAAATTTGAAAAGACAAGTGACTGTTAGTGCAAGCGTTAACAAAATATTGATTTATTGTTGCTTGAAGGATTCAACTTAGAAAAATCATATTGAAAATTTTGAAAAAAAAATTAACACTAACCTTACAACTTTACAATTATTTTATTGCGCATAGAATTTGTATGACTTAAAATGGCATAAAAAATAAATATACGCTTACAATTATGATAAAAAGTTTAAAATACAAGCATATATAGAATTAATTTAAAAAATATTAAGTATATATTTTATTCTGAAATTATAGTTTGGTAACGCAACTATTATGTACTAATGTATAAAAATTCAATTTGGAAATCCAGTTAAAAAGATTGAGTGTAAAAGCGTTTCAAATTTGATAATTTATCGACTTCTGTTCTTTTCTCGGTTGTGTGTGACAGAGGAAGAGCCGTCAAATAAGAAAATTGGCTTTGCGTCTCTTCATGTGGGAGAATTAGGAATTGGACATGCTACGGCATATGCTGCGACAATTAAGGGTCGGAATCGCTTTTTAATCAAGGAAATGTCATTAGCTCGCCCGCGGCTGCAACATTTGTGGGAGAGCGCAATAAGAAGCGCGTCTGCTTTGTCACTGCTCTCCCAGCGCTGCAGCACACATAGAAAATTAAGAGTCCCTTTCAAGAGACGCAATTAACCTTCGAATACACACATAATATACGGTGCACGATAAAAATCGGTGCCGAAATCTAATTGATCTCTGCATGCAGCGCGCGAGAGAGGTTCGTTCGGGAGTCGCGCATGAGAAAAGAGTGAAAATCAGACGCACACAATGTCTCGGCGCAGCGGGGAGTTTCTCCTTCTCGACTGCGATATCAAGACTTGTTGTCATCGGCCAGATACATCATTGCACTTTCATCATCTTCGTGGAAATAAATTCAAATTACGTTGCGCGGCTACAACCGCGAACGAGCAGGAGGAAGTGAATTATTTATGAAAGACTATGGAGGTCCCATATGGCGCCCGTGCGATCGAGCAAACGATGGACCGACGAATCTCACAAAAACCATCTGAGAGAGCACAAGCGCGGGGAATTCATCAGGCAGCGCCTTTGACGGGCCGCCTATGTGTCCTTCTGCTCGCTAAGAAACTCGAAACTCACTTAATCAACCGGCCATCAGCAAATTATATGACTTTTGAGCAGAGAGATGCAGCAAAAACGGGATAATAAATTGTCATACAAAGGGTTTTATATGAATATGTAATTCAAAAAGCAAAAGATCGTCCACATCTTTGCGATTTTTTTTTTATTTTTCAATAAAAATTGCAAAGAAATTTAATGACGAAATAAAAAAAAATCCAGAAATAAAAAGGATAAAATTAAAAATATTATTAATTTATAATGCTATACAATTTATGGGTCTAATTTTTTTCCTAAATCATTTGTAGTTTTCAATGTATTTTTTTAATATGTAGATGATGAATCTCGTTAAAGCCAGAGACTGGTAAACTTAATATGCAAAGAAGTCATCAAATATTGACAGTTTTATTAGAATATTTTTCCCAAGCAAATTTATATTAAAAAATTCGCTAAACATTTTAATTTTTGTTAAATCGTGAAAGTTTTGTATACAAATTTAATTAATTGAGAATAAATGAGGTTGATATTTTTCTGTTTTAATTACATGTGGGAAATCAATTGATTGTTCCAAATTGTATGGTGATATGTAATATCGATTGAATTTTTCACACATTCCTGATCGAAAAGGAAAATTAAAACATGTTTTAAGAGAAAAATTGAGGATAAGCAAATAAAATGTGATATAATTCTATGATATTTTTCATCAGTTTGTGCATAAATAAAAAAAATTAAATGCCAATAAAAAAAAAGGAAAAAATGAGATAAATTGTACTCACCATGGGTTACCCATCCGTGTCTGCACGATTCGCACTGTCTGAGCTGAAGTTTGCCTGGGACGAAGCAGTCGCATACGCAGCCTGGCACGGTACACCTGATGGCCTGCAAACAAATTTCCCAAGTCACAAGGGAGTCGACCAAGAGTGTCCGGCGGCCCGTTTTCCAAAAGTGCGCGATCGCTCCTCGGGGTCCAGTTAGTATTTAAAGAAGGAGGGCAAATGTCGCGCTGGTAAGGATCGCCGCCGGACGATTTTGATTAAATTTATCGATCGCGGGCGCGCGTGAATGTGGAGTATGTGGGGCGAAGCACATCCATATTGAGAGAGCAGAGAGGAGGGCTGCGTGTCTATGCAAGGGCATCAGATGCGTTGCGTGAATGGGATAATATGCAAAAGTGTAAAGGCGCAGGGAGAGAGAGAAGAGAACTGCCAGACTGACAGAGTGATGCACATTTAAATGCGTAAATGCAGTGCCGCTCTAAAGTGTCAGTCAGTCAATCTTTGTCGTATGTGTGCAATGTTGTGGAGAGAGATGCGGATTTCAGGGGAATTTTGTAATAACAATAAAAGTATAAATAAAAAAAATCAGAATTTAAATTAGCATTAGATGAAAATATTCAATTCGATAAATTGAGCAGTCTATATAGTACTAAAATAATTCGGTATAGCTTTTTTTTTAGATATTTTCTTTGGATTTTATCCCAATAATGCAATAAGTTGATTTAAAAACATAAAAAATTTAAGAGACTAAAAATGGGTTAAATTAAAAATAAATTAAAATTACCCTAATCATAAGCGCCATATTTACGCAGCTTTAAAATTTGCTCTGCGCATAATATTTTAAATAAAGAAACAAAATTCAAATATAAATGCACTATTAAAAATAGAAATAAAATAAACTCTCAGTATAAATATAATTCCAAAAATATTTTCTTATTATGAACTGAGAACAAAACGGCCATAAAAATAGCTTTCGAACAAATAAAAATAAAATTTTGATAAAATTGATAAATTCTGGACACGTCCGGCGGCACTTTGGCCGCTGCTCAGGAGTGGTATAAGCGACAAAGTGATCACCATAAAACGCGGCGGTTTCCTCGAGGGAGCGTAGGGGCGTTTTTGAGATGCAAAGTAGCCGGCCGCGGGAAATCAGCCCTCGAGGAGGGGGTTGGTGATCAGTCTCGGTGACGGATTTATGGCTCTTTAAGATGCAGGGAAAGGAGATTCGGGGCGCGGAGGAGCACACAAGAAGAAAAATGCGTTTATTATGCGCGCGGCTCATTAGAAATCCATTTCGCGGCGCGCGGTTGTGCCAGTCATGCCAATTGATTCCTCGGCGCAGTGACAATTAGGAGGGCATTTCGGTCGGTTCGGCCGCGCTCGGCCGTCCAGATAAATAAATGGTGATTCAGCAGCCGTCATCGGGTGACAATGGCTGCGGTAATCACACCTCCGCAGCCGCGCGCGTATTGATTTTTTGTGCCAAGTCACCGGCGACACCGCGTCGCAGGCCCGTAATTAAAAAGGTGATCTACCTGCCGAGTCATCGCTGCACTCACCGTGTTCAGGGGACTCGCCTGGCCGTTGGCTGGCCGCCCGGCCGGCGGCCGCAGGAACCACGAGGCCACTGACGCCCACTGCAAAAATATCATAAAATTAGACTAAATTTCATATGTGCTGAGAAAATCGATTATTAAATCAAATTAACCCCCAAAAGGCCAAGATTGGCTGCTCTTTTTTAAAGTTTATTCTTTTCATGAGAGAGACGATTTTTTTATCCATCGATCGGCGATGGGAGCGGAATTCAAGGGCCCTTTCTTCTTTCTTTCTTTTGATGATTTATCAAGCGCTGCTCGTCGGATGAAGCAGTTGCTGCTTCGCCTTTTTTATTTCTCATTCTCTCTGTCAATCTAATACGTACACACAACACAAGCACTCCACCTCCTCCTCCTCCCGCCGCTGACGAAAATTTCAAGTTTTCTTTATATTCTCTTTTTTGTCCCTCTCCGGCTGCTGCTTACCGGCGGAGATTATTTGGCGCAGATATGAATTTTGATGGCGTTCGTCAGCGTGCAGGACATGAGAGAGAGACGCTCTTTTTTGGACAATCCATTAGGAAATTGATTTTTTAGATTGTCACTTAGGCCGCGAGAATGCTGCGCGCGAGCGGCCTTGACGCGCGGCGATATTCAAGAAGAAGAGAAGAGAACAAGCCGAGGAAGAATAAGAATGAGTGACTTGTCAATTTGGAAACGTATTAAGAATTGGAAGACAAGCTTTGTTGACGTGCAACTCCAGGCTTGGCGCCAAACGTCATGACCAAAATAAAATAGTTTGTTGTTTCAAAATTATTTAATTAAAATGAAAAAATATTAATTCAAGAAAAATATGTTTCCAAAAATAAGTGTAAGATTATAAAAAAATTGTTAGACAAACAATTTTACGCTTAACTATTAATAATAATTCATTAAATTTTGTTTCAATTATTAATGTTAAAATTTTTAAAGGAAAGCTGATTGAAATGTACCTTCCACGGCAATTTGCATAGATTTTACAAATTTTAATATTTTGCTCTGATTTTGTTTATATTAAAAATAAACAAATTAATTAATATTTAATAAATCATTTATAAAGGTTCTTGGCATTAAAAAGGATATTAATTAAACAATAAAAAGATTTTGTAATTATATTTAAAATCAAATGTTTTTATATTCGTGAAAAAAAAATGCCAATTCACATCACCTATCATTAATAAAAATTCCATTTTTTTTTCATCAAATCAAAACTAAAAATAAAATTGTTTTTCTCCTTTTTTTATTACTTTTCGTATACTATGCACGAAAAAATACAATGGAAATATTTTTAAGCTCGAAGAAAAACATATTAAAATCAATTAAAGTATTTTGTGTAATCTTATATTCTTTTCTGGGGCAAAAGAATAAATTTCCAACTCGTTGCTCTCGCGCAGTAATTATATATTATTGTTTCTCTAAAATCTCGGCCGCGTCTCAAATTGGTCGTTGCTCTCACTGAAATTAGCATAAAACATGTTTGACACGACGTCGGATGGAAAATCAGGCAAAAAGCGGCCATCAAGCTCTTTTTCTCCGTTCGCAAATAATAGAGCGCGAGCAGACACACACACACGACATGAGATGACCGCAGGGGTTTGCTCGCTAAGATTCTCTCAGCAAAAATGTCAAGTGGTCCTGATTGCCATGAGACTCGTAGCTGGGTCCGAAAATCGGAACAAAAAGAGCCCCAAGTAGGCGTGCATAATGCAGTATCACTCGATAATGGGCCGCATTGTGCGCTGCGCAGCGGCCGCAGGTAATATTATTTTATTATTTTTTTTCTGCTCCGTGTGTCATATTTTCATATTTCAATGGCTGTGATGGGAGACCCGGGATAGAAAAACAAGTCTCGAGAGTTGCAGCGGCGGCAGATGGGGAGAAAAACAAGCGAAGGACAACTTTTCATACACGGCGGATGGATTATTAAACACATTATATCCATCCACCTCCTGTTGTCATCGGCCAAATGAACCCGCGCGTCATTATGTGCCCGAGCACAAAGGAAAGACCCAACGCACAACAAATATGTATTTCTGAATTTAATAATAATTCCAGCCCGATCGAGAAGAGAGGACGTGATCGCTCTTTGTATCTCGCGCGTCTATTATCATCTCTCTCATCGGCCGGATTTTTCATATTTTTTGCGTCAAATCAGCCCTGAAAGTAGTTTCGTCGTTGGGGAAAATGATGGTGCGGTTTTTATTTTATATGCCGCGCCGACAATTGACCACTTCAAACAAACACACGAATTTTCTTATTCGTCTCTCCCGGCCGCTGCCGCCGCCGACGGCAACGCAACATTATATTATTTATCTTCGCCGGGGGAACAATATTTCACGGTACACTTGTTACTGTGAATGAGAAATTTTGATCCTTTGTGTCAATTTAGCATCATCGAGAGAAATATGACGGAAAAGAAAAAGGACGCGCATGCAGCAAAGTTTTATGTTACCCTAAAATATTATACGGCCGGCAGGAAATTTCAGGATAATAAGCATCAGATTTTTATTCTTTGTCACACAGCTGCCTCAATTTGATTCGCCATAATGATTGTGAAAATAAGGATTAATTTACAAAAGATTAAAAATAATTGCAATATTTTGCTCATACAAAAATAACAATAAAAAATAAATAAATTTGCGATTACTATTTACTTTATTTTCTGTCGCTATTATATATTATAAACCAAATCGAGCCAGATTTTAATGCGTATTTTAATCAAAATTAAAAATGGAATTTGATGTTGTGAATGTTTATAAAAAATGATTTTATTATTATTCATTAAAAAATAAATATCTTTTACAATTAAAAAAATTAAAAAAAAATTGGAGCTTTGGTTTTACAAAATAATTTTATGTTAAAAGTTAACAATTGTTTTGTTTTTTCAATATGATATATATTTTTCTTGGTCAATAAAAAAATTGACTGAAGAAAAAAAGTGATAATAAAAACAGTAATAATTGAAAATTAAATATTATTATTTTTTTCATCAATTTTAGACGTTATTTAACTGATAGGAAATTTGACCGATTTGATAGACAAAGGTGCAATTTATTTGCGTGTCAGGACATCAATTTCAATTTTTTTTTCACTCTCATTCCACAATTAAATCTGTCAAGCGGGGTGCAAGCGGAGGCAATTTAAATTTGAATAATGGGGGCAGAGGGCTGGTTGACTAATGAGAGCGTGTGACGACTGCGAGATGAGTTTTCGAGCATCAGGTGTCCCCAACTGTGGAATGTCAAGCAGGGTACACTCAATCTCTGTCACGCACGCGAAACATTCGAATAACAAACAAAAAAGAGGCGCTGATCAAAAAAGGATCAACTGGTAGCCTCGCCGATTCCGATGCAGCTTTGCAGAAAAAAAGAGAGTTTATTCGACTGCTGACGCATCCCCCGCGCCGAGAGGGTGCGAAAGATTAAACTCCCCTCGGAAAGCGCTGCGAGCCAAAAACGTGGAAAAACCGCGCAAAAGAGAGTAAAAATAAAAAAATGAAATTTTTTCCGACCGCGAAACTCGCTAGTTTTTGACACCTGCGTGCTCTCGGAATTAAAAGGTATAAAAAGGACCATGTCCCTAATTTGTCGCGATACACATCTGACTAAGTGAGCACTCTTCTCTCTTGTAATCAGAGTGACAGATCAGGTGTCAGGGTGGCCTACCCTGAGCGCAGGTAGTTGCGATGCTATCGCGCTTCCCATTTCACGCGCCCTTTGACAGATGACGCGGCGCGCGGCTTGAAAGAGCAGACGCAGAGATAAAAAGAGCGGAATGAAACAATTTTCCCCCTTGTGGAAGCGCCGAAAGATTAACTCGAGTGAAAATAATTACCAACGCAAACACAACGTCAACAGTAATTATTCACAATTTTCCACTGTGAACATTTTTTTTTTATTAAAAATAAAATCCACTTTTTTAATTCAATTAAAATTTTACAAATGACATATTTTATTTTAAAATGTTGAAGTCATGAGAAAGTTGGCACTTGTATTTTGAATGCAGAATTTTGGCGTTGTTTTTGGAGCGAATGGAAATTTTGTGCCGCCAAGATGGCCAATTAATTTGCGCTGAGGGCACGGCTGATAATTAATTCCTCTCCGCTGAAATGATGTTTGCCATCCACCCCGTGCAGCAGCGAGCGCTTCATTATTTGACACACATGCACGCAGACGAGCACACATAACATGCGTTTTACACACATAAGAGGGGCGCGGAATTAACATCCCTGATTGCGAAATTATTAGCCGGCCGGCTATGAGCGAGCGCGGGGAATTTCATCTGATGAGAGAGAAGAGCCGCACGCAAAATTGCCCTAAACTTTTTCAATTACATTCCACTTGTTACCGAATAAAATAAAAATCTAGAGCTTTTGTAAATTAATAAAAGACGTCCATCATCTTCCATTTTTATATACAAAAAAAAAGTGAAAGGAATTATAAACTATAAATCTTTCAGGTGCAAATTTAATTCCAGCAACCTGCTCAAAAATCTGAATTAATTAATAGTTTTCCTCGTTGGAATATCGCAGACGAAATTCTCCCATTAAGTCCGGCTCTCTCTAATAGCATTTTCCGGCCCGCTGCAGCAATTAAATGCCACACAATGTTCGCACATTTCCTTTTGCAGTGTATCAACATTTTTCCATCTTTTTGTCGTGACACGAAACGCGATAACAAAGCTCGTTAAGGTGCGAACAGCAGGACGGAAATTGTGCGTGCTGAACTTTGAAGTTGTCGGGGCGGCCGAATTAAAAAGGCTTGTTATGACTCAATTTGTCACCGGCGCGAGACACAAATCGCCGGCGTGATAAAGAGCAAAGCAAAGCGCGCTCGGCGACCGGCACTCGGCGCGGCCACTTTACGGCCGCTCTGCGACCTGCCGCACCACGCGACCGACCCTCTCCTCGACGGTGAGTCCGAGTGCGAGCAGGGGTGCGCCCTTAATGCCAATTTATTGTCAAGTAAAAGATCAGGCCCGTCTCATAAATTAATACAAGTTTTGATCAATCAAAAAATTATCAGATATCATATAATTTGATTTTGAATTTTTCAAATTGAGTGATCCTTTTTTTGTCGATTTTTTGAAATTTTTCACTAAATACCAATAATAATATTTAAAATTCCTTTACTTGTAAAAAAAATATTTTATGCAAAATTATCATGGTTTTAGATTCTTATTTTTATTAATTTTAGATAATTTGTATGAGGATAAAGTTGAGCAAAATGACTGCTAGGATCAAGATTGATGTATTGGGTATTAATAAAATAACCAAATTTCTTCAATGGTAGATGAAAATAAATTATATACAAAAAATAAATATCATTGCTTCCTAAAAACTATAAAGTATATATTGTTAATAATTATTTTATTTGCCTAATAAATATATTTAGTTATTTAAATAAAAAAACTATTCTAATGTATTGTTGAAAAAAGAAAATATCATTATATATCTAAATAAAATTTAAAATTAATAAAAAAGTTTATAAAATTATATTGTTGATTATTTTTCTGTTATTAATTTCCTATTTATTATATTTTTATCACCTGTAAGGCGAATTTTCAACAGCATGTTTGGAGAGTTTTGATTGTTGTGAATATAGCTAATCCCGCCGCGCTCATTTCCTTCGCAAATTACCCAGCATGCGCCTCTACTTAAAAATTCAGCATCATCCCCGGCGTGCGCCTCGCAAGAGGGATTTGGCGCCGAAAAGACAGCGTGGCAATTTTTCCTGCCAAAACTTTGTATATACAAAATTAATTGTCCCCGTTATTAAGGGCTTAATCCCCTCACTTCAAAAACATTGAGGGAAAAATCACATCTCACTGCAGGGGATATAAAAAGTGTAAAAATTTAGCCCGGGGCCCAATTATCGGTGTCAGACCGGCAGCTCTGATTACTTTGTCTCTCTCTTCGGCGGATCGCATTACTTATTTATTAATCAACGCTGCTGCAAATATGAAAATCCGGCTGCAGCTTTTTCTCCCTCGCGCCGCACCCTCTTCGTCCCGGTCCCCCAAGAAGGAGCAAACTTCTTGCACACGTTCCTAAATCAAGCTCAAACTTTGCTCTGCTTGGGGTAAGCTGATCAAAGTCAATTAATCCCCGTCACTCGCGTGAATATTTCATGAGCTACCTGCTCTCTCGCAGCCGCAACAATGCGCCCCAATTAGTCTCTCGTCGCATGCCACCCGTTTGTGCAAACCCCCACGCACACCACTTCTGTCTTTGCAGCTTTCAACGCCCAACTCAACCGGCAACTTCTGCCATTAAAATCCTTATGGCTTAATTTCCAAGGGAACAAATGTTGAGAGACGCGGAAAATTTATAAAAAGCAGAAAACGATACATTCAAGTGGCTTCCGAGTGTTTCATTTATGACAATGAGAAAAGAGGAAATAAGTTTTTTGCAGAGAGAATTGATTGCAACAAAGGAAGGGGATCAAGTTTTGTTTCATTTATGAAAGGAATAAATAAACAAAAACCTTTTGACTTTAACTTCAAAAGGTAAAAATAAATAATTAATAAAAATAACTGAATAAATTCGCAAAAATAAATAGATAAAGATCTCTTTTTTAGAATTCCACCCCTAGCAAAAAATTGCAAATTGATTTAAGTAATAAAAATGCTCGTATTTTCGAGTAAATTTAAAAACATAAAAAATCAAAAGTTAGAAATTAATATCACCCTTTTCAATATTGTTAATTTTAAGTCTTCACTTGAATTTTTCCCTTCAAAATACAAAGGGTGGGTTTTTTTCGGATTAAAATTGACCGAAGTATGAGTTTGTTTTTTCCCTGCTTGACCCTGAGGGTACCCTGACAGTTTGTATCCCTCTCCTCTGGCAACAGCCCTTGTTTGTCTCAGGGGGTGCGCGAGCTAGGGGTGCGTGCGAAAATAAAGAATGGGTTCGGTGCTCACCACTTCCATCATGAGGTCAGGCGACGCCATCTTGGAGTCGAGCTGGGTCATGCGCACCCTTTCAGGATTGCCGGCGGCGGCGTCACCTGCAACACACACAGAACACGGCTCGGTGAGGCCGGAGGCTGCAGAGCGGGGGTGGCGCGCGGGGGCGGCTTCAACACAGCGAGACGACGCACTCACCGACTGCCATGGCCGCCTTGGTATCGATTTCCTTGGACACCATCACTCGTCCATGTCCTCGGCCGAGACCACGGCGTGCACTGAGGAGCCGCCGCCGCTGCCGCCGCCGCCCGAGAGCGCGCCTCCCTCCCCTGCTCCCCTCTCGAATGACCCGCGCGCCACTTGTCAACGAACCAGCTCGCGCGATGGGCGTGCAGGTAACGCGGGGGGCGGTTCGCCGGCCGTGGTGGGGACGACCTTGGTGTCACCCGGTGTGTGTGTCACTCATTGGTCCCGGAGTGGTGCTCCCTTGCGTTCGCCGCGCGGTGACACCTTTTTCGGTGCGCGCAAAGCCCGCCTTGGTGACAAACTCCTTATCTGCGGCAGTGAGCTCAATAAGTGGGTTTATCAAGAATCTTAACATCTTATTATTTATTTTCTTTTTTCATTTTTAAAATAAATTCTTATTTTTATTTTTTTTTTAACTTTAAATTTAAAATTAAAATACTTTTTATATTTACTTATTTATTTAATTTTGTTTTCTTTTTTATTTATGCCTCAGCATCAAGTATTTAACACAGCTATAATAAATATAGTAAATTTTTTTTAAACTATTCTGCAAACAAATTGGTATAAATTTTTTATCCTAACACAGTTATTATATTAGGAGATAAATAATTCATAAATTTGAATATGTGGGGAACTTTCTTTATATTTTTACAGTGATTGATAAAATTATTCAAAAAGCAATGAATAGGCTGAAAAAAATCAGTGGAGCAGCAAATTGATTATATAAAATTCGGGTAAAATTTTATTTCATAAAACTGAAATTAATATCCACCTGTGCTTATGCTGCTAAGAGATAGTTAATTTTAACTGGGCGGAGGAAAGTCAGAAAAAAGTATGTTTGTGTACTAAACCATATACCAAGCGAATATCGAATATTAATTCAAGTTCGTGTAACTTTTCTCTTTCAAAAAGTCACGCAGATGAATAATATGATTATTTTAAATTTTATCGATTAAAATAATGAGAGTGAATTTGGGCAGCCATATATTATACTATAGCTTTAGAATCAATAGCTTACTACTTGCTAACAATGATTTAGAAATAAAATACAAGTCTCGATTTGAGAGCAAAATTGTTTTCCAATTGGCTTAAAACTCATGACGAACTAGGAGCAAAAAGGTTATGGTGTATAATTTATATGCACAAAACACGGGTAGCAATATTCTTATATCTATAGGCAAATAAAAAGCGAGGAAATGATTCTGTAAAAAAGGTCTTGATATTTCTAATATTTTAGAGACCCAGTAGAAGAATTTATATTGATTAAAATTTTCAATTTCTTATACAATAATCTTTTTCAATAATAGCTTTTTGTTTTGAGTGTTTCTTTATTTGGTTCTGGACCAAATTAATCAATTAAAAGTATTGATCTTTAAATATGTAAGTATAGCTGAAAAAACATGATAAAAATATGAATTCCCACTTCACACTTGCATGATAATTAATAAAAAAGAGTCACATTTCCTTATATACTGTAATTTTTTTATTGGGAAGGCATTCGCCCATTCGCAAATAAAAAGTATAATATAAGTCATGTGTAAGGAGAAGATAAAGAAAGAACATAGTTGTGAATGAATTCAAGAGGCAAAACACAAGGTTTATATCTTTATATCTGCCCAAATAGATAAACTGAGGTAAACTTTTGAATACATCAAATATTAAAAATCACGGTTTGTTTGAATAATTGTCACCGAATGGCTGGAATTTTTGATATACTTCTCATTACCTTTTTTATATATTTTATATATTAATAATGATAATTATAATTTAATAGGATTGTGCAAAATTATATTTGTTTACGCAAATTAAAATAAATAATTAGCACAAACATATTTCGGATTTCCATTAAATTTTTTATTTGAAATTCCAGTATCAATTCTAAAAAAAGTCAAGAACAATTAGAACAAACCACAAGGAAGTAATTTTTCACAATGACCTGCAGACAAAGTAGACAAATCAAAATTGAAGGGACACGTTTTTTCCTCTCTTCTCTGTGCTCGTCTCTTTGTGTTCACGAGCAATTTTGAGATATTTATCGGTGATTTGTTCTTCGCGAGAGAGCCCGAAGGAGGAAGGAGCGAAAGAGCACCTCACACGAAAATGAAAGAGTTCTCTCTCTACAACATCTCCTCTCCTCCGGTGCGCAGCTCGCGGAGAGAGGATAGGCAGCCCGTGTGTCACCGCTGTGTTTATAATACAGCGAGCTCGGCGGGTCGAGAGAATTTTAATGGCAGGTCGTGACGCGGCCGTAAAAACGATCTGTGGGTTTTTTGATCGAGGGACGTTTTCACGGTGGGGCGGTAATTACCACCCTCGGTCTTCTCTCTCTATATTCCAATCGGCAAATGAAATTGAGGCGCGCGGGTGTGGCGATCACGCAGGCCGCGCGGGACAGCCAGAGACATTATCTCTTTCAGCCGGTCGGTCGGTCGGACCGTCGCGTCGTGCTGCAGCGCGGCTCATCCCATGTAATTATCGAGATCGGAGGAGATACGTATTGCCGCACAACACAGAGACGGCCAGATTTATTGCCTTGTAAAGCTTATAATGACGCGCGGCAATAACAAGAATTTTGATCTATAGTCGGCTAATTTAAAAAAATAAAAAATAAAAAGCCGCTCTTGGAGACTCTCAAAATGAGAGAAACACACACGAAAGAAGAATAATGTTTGCTCCAGTAAAAAAAGATTGATTAATTAAATGCCAATACAAATTTGAAGCACCATATAAATTTTCATCTTAAGTTAAAAAAAAATGTTATTGTAGAAGGAAATGTTTAAAAATAAATATTGAAAGAGTCATGAAAAAAGAAAGAATTGTACGAAAGAGGAAAAAAAAATCGATCGTCTCTCAGTCCTATAAATATTTCATGCCTTTTCCTCTATTCCTTTTCTTTTTGACATGCAAAAGACTCTTCTTGACGCACACAACAAACACAGCAAACGGGGCACCCCAAAGTGTATAAAATGACAGGCGGACACACGATGCGTGACTTTTCCACCTCGGCTCTGTCTGTCACGACATACACACACAAAGCTGCGCCGTCCCATCAATAAAGTGGCACGAAAATATGAGCACGAGAGAATTAACATGTCAGAGATTTGCCGCTCTCTCGCAAAAAGTGCAGCAATATACGTGTCTCCCCTTTCTACGGAGCCACCCTAGCTTGCCGCACATATAAATTTAGGGGTGCGTGTTGATTTAATTTGTCCTCGAGGTCGCGCCGAGCGACGAAGAATTAAAATTATATCTCTTTACAAGGCTCGTCCGAAGCCGTGGGGAAATACATATAATTTTCTCTCTGGCGCGAGGTCCTCTCTTGCTCGGCACGATTTCTGCTGTGCACACCATGCGTGTCGCCATCAATTTCCTGTCATACTCATAAATAAACATCGCTCTCGTCTCTCAACTCACGAATTCCCAGAAATGACAACTCTTTATTTCGCACCGGTCATGTATGTATAGAAATTGCATGTCTCTGATTTGAATTTTATACTTTTGGGGGGAGAGATTTTTTTGTGTATATAAATTTATTAACTTTTGACGCAGCTAATTGGAAATCCCGAGCTGAACAATTAGAACCCTTTTCCAACAAGCTCGAAACCTGTAATTTTGTGTGTCCCTTTTTATACTCGCTGTGCTTTTCTCTCTCTTTCCAGAGAGGAAAATAATAAATCTCGAGGTGGGTTTATTTTGTGTCGGGGGTGTTAAATCCAGTTTTTAATTGTGTTTTATTGCGGCTCCCCTTGCCTGCTCGCTGGGCTCTTCTCGCGCGACCTCTCTCCAAACATTTTTCTTTCGTTTTCTGCTCTCCGCGCGCCGCGTGTTTGATGTTTATATTGGACCCCGAAACACACCGAGTATCACTAATACACAGACAGGCCCAGCCAGCGCACACACGGAGCATGTTGTGTAGAGAAGAGCAGCTCGTCGTCTCTTCTCTCTCGTTTACGAGTGTGCTCGAGATCAATAAAGTTTTCCTATTACCATCAGCAGTGCCTGCGTCTTATCTCGCAGCATAGATCGCGCAACAACTATTAATTTGGTTATGCCAAGGAATGTGCCCAGAGAGAAAATATTATCGATTGGTTAATAGTGATGTATACCGAAATTTGGGAAGTGCCAGCAGTTATTTAATTTGGACACAACTTTTCAATTAATTTCATCATCTTCCTTGCACCTTTTTGCAAATTAAAGCTCATATATACCGAATGGCTGTAGTAGTTTTAACTGTCTATGAAACAATGAAAGTTCGTTTATTTTGAATTAAAAGTCTCATGACGAATATTTAGTGTTTGTAAATAAAAAGTCAAATAATAAATATTGTTGCAATAACGTTTTTGATGAGTTTTTGGAGAAAATTAAAATGGCTCTACTAAAATACTGATTGAAAACTAAAAAAAAAAAATATGCAATAATATTATATGAATAGCACATATTTATTAAAATCGCATACTATGACAATTTTGCTTCCACACATATTGATTTTGAATCCAGTAAAATATAGCGATTGTCCAATTTAATTCATTAGAATTTTAATCATATAGTTGTATTCAATTGAGATATTCCTGCAGACAAACCATGAAAATTGCTATCTTGAAATCCTTACTTTTTGTGTGAAAATAATTGATATTATAATCATTGAACTTTAAATCATTCATATCATAATCATTGACAACGGATTTAACACAACACAAAAAATTATAATTTATAACAACCATAAAATTACGTAGTATCCTAGTAGCATTTTATATTTTTTAACATCACAAATTTAAAAAAAAAAATGCTAAAATATTACTGGATCTTTGATGTTACAATGTATATTTTGTTGTAGAAATATTTTTTAAATATGATATGTATAAATTTATTAAACCGTTAAATGATATTAAACAATAGAAATAATTAAATAGCTCTGAGCAAATTATATTAATATTATTAAAATTTATTGATTTATGAAAAATACTCAACTCAATTTTAACATATGATTAAAATAATAACACATTAAATTGTAATTTTGCTTATATGCCTTTTAGTATTATAATTAATTTCAGATTAATTGATCTTACAAAATAACATAATAATTGTATTTTAGGAAATATTTGGCAGCCTACAAGTTGCATAAAGGTGCACCATTATATTATTAGTGTATCATTTGACTCGGTTGCCGGTTTTGTCTATTGACGCGGTGCGCGATGAATTTCTGGCCGATTTAGCGCAGAGCATACACACAGCTAGGGTCGTGTCGAGAGAGATGAGCTGCCCGCAAACTGTGCAACGCACGCATATTTCTCTCTGGCTGCTGAGAATAA